TCCTGCTGACATCCACAGAAGCAAGCGTGGTAGATGATTATGATAGTTATATGTGATGAAAATAAAATATATCTGTCCTGAAATAGCTCAACACATCAGCAAAACAGGTTTTGCACCACTGTACACAGTGCACACAGGCCTGTGCATAACATTTTCAATACATTTCAGTCTCTGAAAATCCATGTTAAACATTGCTTTAAAAATAGTAGGTCTGAATAAATACTACACAACCCCGATCATTCAGAATTTTATTGTGGACAGCTGAAAATGCTGCACAGGGTCTCAGCTTGAGGAACAAAGATTCTGTGGCTGGTATAAGGACAGTATAAGGAAGCCAATAGGCGTTCAGATTGTTTTGAAGTAGAATTTGCTGATCTCCTAACTTCTGTTTGTCTTACTAACTCTGCTCAATTTTTCATCTTTATGTATGTTATTTATTAATGCTCACAGGCGTAGAAGTGTATTTGCTTTCCTAACTCTGCTACCCTCATGCCTTTGGACTGATTATCTTTTGGCATTTTATATTAATCCTTGGTAAGTTATATACTTGTTTTTTTTTTTCCATATGCAATGTCTAAGCAATGTTAATTTCTATTCCATGAAAGATGTGTTGTGCCTTTCTTTTCAAATGGGTCAAAGCTCTTTAAGTTATAATTTTCTTGTTCTAGAATATAGCTTGGAGAGGATGTGGGTGTCAAAGTATTTGCTACCCTGTTTCATCTATTGTGTGTCCGTTTAGCTCCAACCCATTTTGGTATTAAAAAGCTAATTTTAGGATGGTCATCATATTCATTTCATTGCTCTCTCTTTGCAAATTTTGCAACTTCATTGCAAACCTTGTTTTTTTCTGCCACAGTTATTCACCTGTTCATTGCTTGGTGCTGCTGCTTTTTTCATACTAAAATTGCTTAATATTGCCCCACCTGTTTCGTGTGTGATGTCTTTAATGGTGCAGTTAGTCTCCTGGTATCAAAAGAGTTTTGCTTTGGGAAACATCAATTTCCTGAGAATCCATATAGACTAGCATTTTCCAAGTGCAAAAATTGGGTCAGTATGTATGTATGCATGTGCGTGTGTGTGTGTGTTTAAGAGTTTCATCTATAAATAGTCTATAAAGGCTTAGTAAATGACCAATCGGTCATTTGAAAATACATAGCTGGAGAAGTCCCAGGGTCTATTTAGAACCAGAACTATTTCACAAGCCTTTTACAATTACAGTTATAATCAACCATAACCCCAAAATGCTTAATTTGTGTAAAAGAAACTTTTTTTCCTAATGATCTGAAGTCCAATAGTGTACAAAACTGGTGGTGTACAAAAACGTGTTTGCAAAAGATTTACTTTTGACCATACCCTTTTCCTGGTATCATATAGCTATGATGCCCTGGTAAGTAGTCATAGAAATCTTCTGTGTAGGGATTTCTGAGACTGGTTTTCTTGGGTCATGTTGAATCTGTAGAAGGACCCTTTAAATTTGCAGTGGGCCCAGGCATGAGCGATTAAAAAAAAAAAAAAAAAAAAGGTACATTTCTTATCCCCTGAAAGTTAAAGCATGTTCTCTGCACAAACACAAATTAAGAGTAGAAACAAGTTTTGCAAATCCCATCAAGCTAATATTATAGTGTCTTTTAACTTGCCTGAAATACACGCAACATAACTAGCTACCCATGTCGCACAGTGACGGAGGTTTAGGCAGAAAGTTTATTGTGCAGATCAAACTCATCCCACGTAACTCTGACCATCAAGAATTCCAAGATGGTCATTTTCAATGGTACTGCTGCAGGAAGAGTCATCTCTATCTTTTTCTCTTGAATGTGCATGAACTCGCCTTTGGAGTTATGCATCTTTGCATTTGGAGGCTGCCTCCAAATCAAGCTACCTAGTGTAGTCTAGGCAAGTTTCAAGAAGTTGATTGACACGAGTTGAATCCTTCTCTTTGTATTTTAATCTGTAGGATAAATAGAAGAAAATGTGAAATACCAGCTAGTATCTTTTGTGCACAAGTTGGTTTAAAATATTTATGAACATTCAGGAAATGCTTGCAATACTAAGAAATAAAGGCCTCTCGAGATTCTGAAAGCGCAAGAAATTGTTTCTGAGAAATGGATGTCAGTCATTTGTTTTATTGCCTCTTGAAGTGTTCCTTGGAGAAGAGTTCTTAGAAACATTCCCATGATAAACAGCACTTATTTTTTCTTTTGAAATGAATTCCAGTGTGCACAGTATTAAAAGATTTACCATGGTCACAGGGATGAAAGAGAATTACATTGAATAATCTAGATAGATGAATTAATTTTAAGATTTCTTTGGAAAAACCATAGATGTAGAATAAATATTACCAGGATATAGCACACGTGAATGAGTGACTGTATTTATATAGATAACCTCATAGGCTGAAGACATGTATAATGCTATAATGCTTTGCAAAATAAATCTCCACTTTAATGTAAAGTTGATATTGCCGTAGCTCTTGTTCAGTCTGCAAGCAAATATCTGGGTCTAAACTGGAAGGTACTTTTACCAGATAACAAAATTACCCCAAGTTGCTCTGGTAATGTTGCGGCTGCTATGATGACTGAACTTTTGTGATAACTGAACTGAATTTTGGAAATTTTGATTTTGGAAATGAATGAATAGTTTCTCTTCTAAGCTTAAAAGGTTAAAAAAGTTCTCCATTTTTAAATATTTATTTCTTTACTCTCTCTTTTCACTGCTCTGAAGTTAAAAGCCTTTAATTTGCAAACTGGAGCTCTAGCCCAAAGAACTCAATCAACTATTGTCATGAAATTAAAAATATCATGAGTATAGTGTGATTAATGAACAGACATTATTTAATACTCATAAAAAAGGAAATATGACATAACTAAGATTCCTTCCGGGAAAGCAAGAATCTTTTGGTGCTCTGTCATTGCTGCATCACTGTCTGTTTGTGCACTTGTCATTGGTGCTGTCATCTCGTGAAAAGGGAAGGATCAGTATTTTCAAACCTATAAGCAAAGTATTCCAGGGTGCTCCCTTTGTGCATTTAATTTAATCTGAGTAATCAGTTAATGGTTTTGTGACAATGACTAAGTGAATACACACATTCTTCTTCATTGGCTCACTCCCACATACACCCCCTCCAACAAAGTACATGAAGGTAGTTAGTGTAACGCTGTTCTTTCGTCCATTTCTTACGGTTAATATTGCTTAATTCATTCATAATCTTGCTCACAGCTGTCTGTAGTGAATTATATCACTTATAAATCAGGTGAAGACAGTGCATTACATGATTGGCATAATTTTCTCTATTAGAAGTCAATAACATTTTCTAAGGTTTAAGCCTTAGTCTTGGTGAGACTAGTGGGATATTCAACATTGTTTTCATCGGTCATCCCCTAAGCAGGCCATACAATGAGTGATGAATGCTGACTGGGCCTTTTGTTTTTTCCACTACTCTTACTTGACTTTGGAAATGTTTACCCAACAGACACACACACATTCCCAGTAATGCTCCAGCACTGGTATCTACTTTTCCAGCCTGCAGCAGATGGAGAAGGGCTGGCTGCAGCCCTGCAGACTCCTGGAGCAGAACCCAGGCTCACATGCAGCCAATGGTGTTTTGGGGTCAGAATTTGCAGAGGAGCCAGTGCTTAGGCATATGGGTTTTCCCTTTTACAAGCAGGTGTTCATAGAGCCAGCAAATGGAACATTGATCCCATTAACATCAATGAAAATAACACATGGAAAATAACAGAATTAATCACTATTAGCTTAAAAATGTCCAAGGTACTATCACCAACCTTATCCTGAGTAATATGATGACCATAAATCATGTATTTTTAAATCAGTATCAACTTTAAACTAAGAGCATACAACTTAACAAGTGATTTTTTTTTACAGGAGTAAAAACGGGTTAAAGAAGAGAAAGCTGACCAAGTATGTGACTTCTTGAATAATTAAAGAAAATTTTTAAAATTGTCACTTTAGACTGAATATGCACGATGAAATGCATTGGCATAATTATACTGCAGTTACAGAAAATTTCTTAGTAAACACATCCTGAGAGATATGTCAGAAAGTCAAAAACAAACATAACTGCACAAAAGTAACTCTTCTGAATAGCGAAGTTCTGGTAAAACAGCTCCTGACTGATACGAAATTAGTCATGAGGGGCAGGATCATTTAGCCAAGTTAGTGATTCCAGTGGAGCTTTCCCTTAGTTAAAAATGACAAATGGCAAAAAAAAAAATGGAATGCATTTATTTCCCTCTTGACATGGGGCTCGCATTGCGGTTGTTGCTAGAACATTAGATTATTAATGCTAACGGGTAAAGAGCGGTAATTAAGTGGTGATAAGACAAGATCCTTTGGGCATATTGCCTCAAAGTAAATGAAGCTGTGTACATGCTTCAGTAGCTTGTAAATTAGAACATGATAATTAGGTGAGGGAAGCTGTTTACCTGTGGGTCCTTATTCAGAGAGTTGGCCTAATTATTCCTCCTGGATGTTTGGAGGCTGTGCCTGTATAAAGAAATAGACTTCTACATGGTGTTAAAGTGTGTAGAGCAATGCAAGTCACTAAAGCAAGGCCAATTTCTATCTGCTGAAGGTCTGTGTGGCTTTGAATCATTATACTGCACTGTTTTTAGTGACCATTTCTCCAGGAGCACGATTCAGCCTCTAATGACAAATGCCTAGAGTTCTCAAAGCCAGCAAAGAAAATAGGAACTACAGCAGCATCCTTTTTTCTTTTTTTCCCTAGACTTTTTTCCAAAATCAGGCCCTCAGTATGAAATCTCTTAAGGATTGGAATGAGCAAAACTCAAATGAGTTTAAAACAGTCACTTCTGTTACCTTCTAGCATTAGCAATTGCAAATACGTATTTGTCACTTGATAGCATTCTCTGGGACAATGGAAACCTATTTAAAAAGGTTTTTTTTTTTCCTAAATGTTTGTATGTTTGTTTGTTCTTTAAAGCCCCGTCCAGTTGGATGATTTTGACGGCTACATCAAGGATATGGCCAAAGATTCAGATTATAAATTTTCTCTGCAATTTGAGGTAAATCTGCGGTGTCTCTTTCCTCATCTAGCTGCCATGCTTAAATCAGCTTTTTCCAGAGGTTCAGTTTCTGTGGTATGTTCCTATCCAATGTTGTGTTTGTTGTGTGCTGTTGCTAGGTGGATGAGCTTCACTTGAAGTTCTGCAGAGCTTAAAATAGGTCCTTGCTTTTATTCAAGACCATATTTAGTAAGCTGTTTTCCATGGCTCATCACATTTAGATCTGGATAATCGTCCTTTTTAGTTTAGGTTCTCTTGGCAGCCTAAGTTGAATTGAGAATTTTTATAATTTCTTTAATTTGGGAGGCAGCAGTGAAAAGCAGAGAAAGTGACATCAAAAACCTCCTCAAAAGCAAGTGGGATGCATTTTATTGAGATGCATTGCCTGAATTATCCAGCATTTAAATTCAGTTTAACCGTATAAAACTAAAAAGCTCCAGTCCTAGAGCTGCTGAAGTGAAACCAATGCTCCCAACACTTAAAAGTGGAAGAAGAAGGCTTTCAGGATGTTGCCCACTGTAGTGTGTGGTTGACATGTGCCCTTTCTCTCAGTGAAAAACTTTTTCTTTGCATCATATATTAGATGTGGCTATTTATGTTGATAACTAGAAACATCTTTCAAGCATTCCCCAGTATCAAGATCGAAAGCCGCTTGAGAAACTAAAGAAATCCCTTAAACTGGTGTGTGGATGACCACCATAGAAATAACTTACAAATAACTGGTCTGGCCCTATTTTAGCTAATCAAGTGCCACAGAAGAGGAGCAGTCCTTAATCTCAGCCTGGACTGCCAGCAGTGCATCGATAGCATCAGAAGAGGCTCTATCATTGGTCTGAAGTTGTTTTGAGCCAAACTCATGGACCACAGATAAGGAAGCTCAGTGTATCCCTCTTGTCACTTTATAAAAAGCTTTATGAATGTTTTCAGCTTGGTCCATGCCACAGACACTCATTTCACAAAGCATTATTTTTTTGAGTTTTGGTGAATTTGGCCTTGACATTGTTCTTTCTGTTATCCCAGGAGCTAAAACTGATTGGGCTTGACATACCCCACTTTGCTGCTGACCTTCCCATGAATCGCTGTAAAAATCGCTACACAAATATCCTACCATGTGAGTACAGCTCATGTAGGCTCCTGCTGAAGTGCCTCCACAGGGAAATAAGGGTTTCAATAAGAGAACTGTGGCACTGATGTCCAGACCGATAAAAGTCTGTCCTAGAACCTGCTCCTGAATAGAATCAGGCAAGAGAGGTTTTCTGTTAATCGAAGGCTGGTGATTGGAGTTGAGAAATGTAAGATCATTCCTACTAGTGAGAAGTGTTATTTTTTCTTGCAGTTTTAATGAAAACCAAAGGGAGTGCAAAGGGATGGCAGTTGTGAAGGGCATTTTGCACTTTAATTGTGTTTCAGCCACGTAGTGCTTACTGAAGCAACTATTGCTGTCACTTGGTGAATATGAGCATTCTTCATTTTTAGTGGATTTTTCAGATTTTAGAGGATTGTTTTTAATTTTGCTTAGTTTGAGACTATCATATATATGTGCATTTTTTTTTCTTCTTTATAGATGATTTTAGCCGTGTCCGGTTAGTTTCAATGAATGAAGAAGAGGGTTCCGACTACATTAATGCCAACTATATTCCTGTGAGTAAAGAGGCTCCAAGCAGTGTAAAGAGTAATGCCCTATGCTGCAGTTAGACCATGTCAGCAGCAAGTGGTGCAAAATCTCCTGATGGCTCAGTCTGATTTTCCACAGCCACTTTGCCACTGTGGAGTCTCCTGTACAGGTGCTGCCAAACTTGTGACCTGTATTTGGTTTCTGGGTAGCAAGGGGATGGATAGAGACAGAGCTGCAAGTGTCTGAGCACACACTGAGTCAAGAAATAAAAAATGTATAAATACCCAAAAGAACCACTGGCAAATGAGAAAAACTTCTGTGAAGTAATTATAGTATCCAGGTTTATATGCACTGCTCTTTTTTTGGGATTGCTCACTTTAGATTTTATATTTTACATCTATTCTGTTTTGCTTGTAGCATAATACCAGCCATAGGAATTGTCTTCTGAGGAGGAACCTACAGAGCATCATATTGTTTGGCTTGTCTGATAATTGCGTCTTCACTAAATAACTCCTTCCAGATGTTGTTATTAGTGGTGATAAGTACCACGTATTAAGAAGCTGTGATGTTAGAGATTTGCTGCCTAGGTTGAACATAGGACATGCAGACAAACATACAGCTTTGGATATAGGACAAACACTGAGATTAAACTGTATTTTAGAAATAGCTGGAGAAGTCATTTATGGAAGATGCTCCCAAACCTTGAGTATTTCAACAACATATATATACTACGGTGGCACAGAAATAGCCCAATTTACATGAGCTCATGCTGTGCCTTTACTGTACCTTTTACTCTTATTAAGAATGGAAAACATTTTTCCAAATGAAGTTTTGCTGATACAGTCTCAGAAAATATGACTATAGTAGATGTTAAAACTGCCCTTTTGTGGGTATTTTATTATTTAAAGTGGTCTTCTCAGCAGGGGGGAAGAAGATAAAGAGGACTCTTCATCTAAAAACACATTGATGGCGAGAGGAGCAGAAATGCATTCATAGGCATCCGAGCTTCAATAAAACATAGAAATGATAATCTGTTAAAGGTGTTGGCTCAGCATGAATGGTATTTTTTTAAGCAGAATTCTAATAAGTTTTCTACGAATTTAAGTCCGTATAAAGTAAATACATGCAAATAATCCTGTGTATTGCCACCTTCTGTTTACATCAGTTCTTAAAAACCACCACAGGCACTGCTTGGGATGAGCAAGCTAAGGGTGCACAGTTGTTTTTATTTCTATGACAAAAAAAACCTTTAAATTATGGAAGACGTTTCAACTTTATCCGTTTGTCTAATATGGCATTTCTGGCAATCACAGCAAAGAATTTGTAAAGTATCAGCTTCACCGTCTGTTTTTTTATTCTAAATGGATTGTAATTTTGAAGCACCAAAATCTTGCAAAAGTTGTAATCTCAAAATAAATTAAAAAAAAAGAATTACAGTTTCCTTAAAATGCAAAAATTGAGCTAAAAAAAAAGAAAGAAATACATATACCAGGGAAGAATATATGTTCTGAAGCATTAAGCCTGTTGGTCAATAACATCTCTCTCTCTGTTTCTTAGGGTTACAATTCACCCCAGGAATACATTGCAACACAAGGGCCATTGCCAGAAACTAGGAATGATTTTTGGAAGATGGTTCTTCAACAAAAATCTCAAATTATTGTTATGCTCACTCAATGTAATGAGAAAAGAAGGGTATGTAGTAAAATCTTATGCATAGTATAAAAGAAATTATTCTGAAAACATATGTATTTTCTGTTGGGTTTCTTTGCATATTTTCTAATGATGAAGTAGCATCATAGTGAGACCTGCAATTCTACTTCTTTCACTTATGGAAGGAGTTTCAAGGTTGGGTGACTTTTTTCTGGTTGTAAGTGGACCTCTATGTATGGATTAAGGATAATTTATGAGCCTCTCAAGGGCTATTGCAAAGGTTGGAAGATGGAGAGTGCACAGTAAAACAAAAACTTAAATCTTGATGTGATTTCCTTCACTTTTGGTTTGTTCAGGGCTGAAGCTAAAACATGGGTCTGAAATGGTGAAAGCAGCAGATTCTTGTAGTCGTGAATATTTAGTCAGGGACTGGATGGGTTGATGTACTTTTTCTTATCTCAGTAGTTATCTCAGAATGCCTAGAATATAGATTTTCTGTATTATTTTAAGTTTAAAGCAGTATCTTATGCTTTACAGATTCCTTGGCATTATAATAGGACCATTTGGAAATACTTTTTTTTCTGTATATTATTTTCCCCATATTTTCTAAAATTAATACTTTTAGATCTACTTTATTAGGAAAATAACAATCTACAAAGAATGTATGTATTTCAATTCTTTGCTGGAATAATGTTCTACCTTCAAAAAGACAATATATAGCCATGTTCCTAGTTACACAAGCAAGAATGGTGAGGTCGAAAAAATAATTACAGTAGATATTACCACTTACAAAGTTTTCCAGTAAATAACACTCTAAGCATTTCTAAAATTGTTGATTGTGATTTCTTGTATTATAGGTATGTTTGTATATATTTATATATTTCCCTTTCAGGTGAAATGTGACCATTATTGGCCTTTTACGGAAGATCCTATTGCATATGGAGACATCACGGTGGAGATGCTGTCTGAGGAGGAACACACAGACTGGGTTTATAGGAATTTCCGAATTAGCTACGTAAGTGTTGCAATGCTCTATTAAAACAGTGGGACTAGTTCTGGGCCAGACTTTTCTTTAAGTTTTATCCATCTACGACATTCAATGCAAAATGCCTAAGAAAAAGATTATGGCCCTGCTCTCATTCCACACAGACAAATATCAAAGTTATTTGACACTCTTGCTCCCAAGAGCGTCATCTCCATGAGCTTCTCAATAACAGCCAAGGAGAGGTTAATGGTATCCTGGCTAAGCACACGGTGATTGAAACACTAGCACTCCTGGGGTTCTTTACATTTCTCTGTGATGCTGATGACAATGAACCTGTCACCTTCTTCAACTCTTCCTTTCCTTCCTTCCTTCCTTCCTTCCTTCCTTCCTTCCTTCCTTCCTTCCTTCCTTCCTTCCTTCCTTCCTTCCTTCCTTCCTTCCTTCCTTCCTTCCTTCCTTCCTTTCTTCCTTTCTTTCTTCCTTTCTTCCTTTCTTCCTTTCTTTCCTTTCTTTCCTTTCTTTCCTTTCTTTCCTCTTTCTCTCTTTCTCTTTCTCTCTCTCTCTCTCTTTCTCTCTTTCTTTCTCCCTTTCTCTCTCTCTTTCTCTCTTTCTCTCTCTCTCTTGCTCTCTCTCTCTCTCTTTCTCTCTTTCTTTCTCTCTCTCTTTCTTTCTCTCTTTCTCTTCTCTCTCTCTCTCTCTCTTCCTCTCTCTCTTTCTCTCTTTCTCTCTCTCTCTTTCTCTCTCTCTCTTTCTCCCTCTCTCTCTCTCTTTCTCTCTTTCTTTCTCTCTTTTTCTCTCTCTCTTTCTTTCGGCACTTGTGGTTGTCCTCATATTATAAACCCTTCAAAACTTGAAAAGAATAATACAGAATCAAAAATATTTTTCTAAAGGGCAATTGTGCAATATCCATAGCATAGACTCGGTGCATGTCTCAGACAGGATCTTGACTAAAGCAGTTGTCCACAGAGCTGGTTCTCCACTCCCTAGTGCTGCTGCTGTAGGATATTTTTCTGCTTTCACATATTACAGCAGAGGAAATGGGAGAGACGTACAGTCTATCACAACCTCCTAGAAGCTTCCTGTGCAACTTCTTCAGTAATGCATGTGAAAACACAGCTAGTAACCAGCAGTTTGGAGAACTCGCATATGGGTCCAAATAAAATGCCACATAATCAGCAAGTTCATTCTAAAACATTTCAAACTTGACCAAACTTGGGAATGCTAAAATTCACATAAGTGAATGAGCTGTCTAAAATAAGGCTGTTCATATTTTCAAGCATTTTTTTCATCTTTGTTTCCTCCATCAGTTAGTTACAGGCTTCATCACTTGAAGCAAAGAGGAGAAATACAGAGAAAACATGAGAAGAGTGATGCCCTGACACTTGGGCATTGGCCCAGGGTTAGTTCAGCTAAACTGCCTATTGCCAAGGTCAGGGAGGCCACTTTTTATTTCAATCTATCATCTCACTTTTTATACCCTTACTTATAACTGGCTTAGCAAGGCCACTTTATTTCAATCTATCTCACTTGTTATACCCTTACTTATAACTGGCTTAGCATCTGCTGCTGTCAGAGACAGGTTACTGGAGCAGAGGGATTTAACCTCATCCAGAACAGCAAAATTAAAAGCAGTAATTGCTTCGCCATGAGGTGTGGAGATGAGCCACCCCTGCCACACCTCAAGTTTGGAGTTCCTGTAAACTCAAAGCCAAAATGAGGCCCTTTTGTGTTGAGAATCTTATTTCACCTGCAGCCAGCAGAGTTTCTTTTAGCATGAGAAATGATTTTATTAATAATGGGTATTTTCTGAGAAAGTTTCTTCTCCCTCTGAAAATGCTGGTGTCGGGGGTGATTTTTTTTTCTTCTCTTTTTTTCATCGAAACTTGAAAAGGAAAATTCTCATGAGACCAGTCTTGGCTTGTTTGCCAACAGTGTTGCTCTTTGCCAGTGGCAAATGGGAAAAGAAAAAGAGAAAGAATGGTATAGAAAGAGGGAGAAACCCCAAACCCAAAAATTACAGCAGTTTTTAATCAAACGTAATCATGTAACGTCTGTGTCACTTTGGGAGCAGCTTTCCTTCCTTAGGCTGTATTTGGGAACAGGTCTCGGCCAGGCTGCCCTGTCCAGTGCATGTGAACGTGCTGCTGCTCTGTTTTTCCCATAGGCCGATGAGGTGCAAGACGTGATGCATTTTAACTACACTGCCTGGCCTGACCACGGGGTGCCCACGGCCAACGCTGCCGAAAGCATCCTGCAGTTCGTGCAGATGGTCAGACAGAAGTCAGCAAAGAACAAAGGGCCCATGATTATACACTGCAGGTAAATGCTTCCAGTAAGTGGGGAATTAAAGTCCCCTCCACTCGCTCGGCACTCAGCACACTCAGACGGGACATGGTAACAGCAGTACCTGTGCGAGCACTTATCCCACTGTCCCATAATAAGAATTACATGCACGTATTTGCTTTTCTTTTCCGGGAGCAAGCTCATTGTATATACAGGCAGATTTATGTCTTGTGCGTCATCTGGCCTTTTATTAGCACAGTTGCCTACCTGGCAGATCTGGGGGCAGCTGCGGTGTTGATGGGTGATGATATGACATGAACTTCATCTCTGATGTGACTCTCCCAACTGGCTTTGAATTTCTTCAGAAAATTTCAGAACAGATTTTTCAGACACATAAGTATCAGGATTGCAGTGGATGTATGTGTGTATATGAGGATGACACACTCCCATTGGAGGTCAAGGCTTGATAAGATTAACCTCAGCCTAGACAGTTATGTTGCTGCACAGCACATCAGCACCTTCCAGTGATGTCTTTCCTGTTGCTGATAGCTGGCATTTTCTGTCTCTGGTGGCCACCTTTCACATTTTCAAAACAGTATTTTTATAGTAATCTGATGTCTGATGCTAGATACGACATTAAGTGCTCTACTAGGAAACAAAGCAACATCAGTGTTTGTAAAATCAGCAAGTCATGCAGCCCTCCCTTATAACTTACTTGAGAAATTCATAGGGAATATAGTTTTGGAACTGAGTCCTAGTATCAAGAAAGGTGCTAGTAAGCCAGGGAAGGGATTTATATGTGGGGCTGTGAAATCAAATCCTTTGTATAAGTCTGCTGGCCTTAATAACAATGGGGAAGAATAGAGAGAGATGGGAAGAGGGATGAGAGAGCTGGAAAACAAACGTAATATATTCTTTTTAATTGGGATACTCCTACCTGCAAAGAAATATGTTTTCAGGTGGTGCCTGCAGAGCCTGCCAGTGTTGAGCTGAGCTGCTGCAACTTTGCCACAAATACTTTCATGTTTTCCTGGAAGATGGAAGAAGGCAGCAAAAGCTGCTGGCAATAAGACACATACACTGTAGCAGTTGGCACACTCGATGGGTGAAGATCTGAAATGAAATTGTAGAAATGAACATAATTGTGAAATAAAAAGGCAAGGAATTATTTGCATACTAGAAACTAAGCTTCCTTTTGCAAGGATGATGGTTTGTCAGCTGAGTGCTTGCTGTTTATTTGTCTAGGACTCCCAAAGCACGAGTCCCGAGCAAAACCTCTTTTGCCTGCCAAACCCAAAGAGACCATCCCCTGGGGATGAGCTGCACTAGTGCCATGTCCTTGCCAAGCCATTAGCTCCCTATGTAGAGAGCTATGGAGCTAAAAATCCTTGCAGGTTCAGTCACAAATGCCTGGATGCAGTTAAATTTTGCAGTTACAGCTACAGCTCCTGCAGTTTGCAATTTCTCCTGACCTCGAAGGGAAGAGGGAAGTATGAGGGTGTGAGGGTGATGGGAGCTGTCAGTGAGCCTGGGATGAGCAGACTCCTAAAGGTGAGTGAGCATGTGCATGCACGCTGTGCACGTGAGTGCATGCACCAGGTGAAGAGGAATATAGGAAGGTGAAACCATTGCAGAGCCGTCCATTCCATTCATTTTGTTTGAGCAAAATATGACGTCTTGCACATCATTATATCCTAAACAGCCTTCTGTCTGCCCTTAAGCCAGACACATCAGACTCTCTGAAATGACAGTCCTGTTTGTGTGTGTTGCAGTGCTGGAGTGGGGCGAACAGGCACCTTCATAGCCCTGGATCGGCTCTTACAGCACATTCGTGATCACGAGTTTGTAGATATATTAGGTCTGGTGTCTGACATGCGGTCCTACAGGATGTCCATGGTACAGACAGAGGTAAGGTGCCCCCTTCAGCTCTTTTCAACAGTAAGAATATATAACTGTATCTACCATCTCATGCATCTCTGTAGCATGGTCATGTCCAACAGCACATTGTTCCATTTGAACACATGACAAAATAGCTATGAATAGACTCAATTAAATGTTCTTCTTCATTGTAATATTGTCACGTTATTAATCTGCTGCATAAGTAATCATGTGTCAGAGCCTGACAGTGTATCCACAAACTCATTGATGTTTTCCTGGAGGGATGAGTTGTTGTTATAGATAACGAATGTGTAAAATACATGTTAGAGGAGCTTAGCATCTGTAGCCAAGCCATGCTGGAAAGAGTTGTACTTGCTGAAGAGAATACTGACTCATGGACCAATATATCACCGTTGGGCAGCCATTCCCAGCTTGTTCAAGATGTGAATGGCCAAGCACAGGGACTAAGTTACATGATGGCAGTACAAATATCCAAAGCAAAACAGACAAAATCATTGTGTTTGTGTCTACCAGGCACCCTCCTTCCCCCTCTCCCTAGCCACTCATCTGCGAGATTTTCTTGTTTTTTAAGGAAAATATCAGGATATTATTCATATCATCAGAATATTTGTATGGAAAAAATGCGCAAACTCTTTTCCAAAGCAGAAACTTTTATGCATCTGAAACATTTTATGCATCACCTCTACTAATGACTGAAAAGTTTCATGCCCATTATTTGTGTCACTGGTTAGATAGCAGTAATCTCCATACAACTGCAAGTGCCACCATCATTGTTTGCAGGCTGGGTCTGGCAGATAATCTGTCACCAAGGATTATTTAATCCAGACCAAAGTAGCATGAATGGGGCAGGAGAAGGAAAATCGGCAGCAATTCTGATAGCTGCCTGTGAACAAAAAAGGTGCCATGAGAAACCGTCGTAGTACCGGTTCTCTTCCCAATCTACTAAATGAATCCAAAGGCAGAGCCTGAGGTTAACACAGAAGAACAAATACCCCGAGCTGGTTATTTCAGCAACAATTGCCTTGCCACGCCAGAGCTTTGTCTGGCCAGAGAACATTTGTTCTCAACATGTGCACCCTCGATGCACGCCTGGGACTGGTCTCCAATGCGGGTGCTCAGGACATGGGCATCCCCACAACTGCAGCAAGGCTGATGTGGCTCTGCCACCCCTGCCCTTGGCCAGCACTGCATCACGCCAGCCACTTTTCTCTGACAAGTGTGCACACCCTCAACTGCAAACTTGTTCTTTTTCCTCCTCTGCACAGCTGTGCCGCAGGGGTCACTAGGTGGCAGTGACACTTGGCACAGAAGTCACCAAAACTTGCATTGCATTCTTTATAAACTCTGAAATTGCAAACACACGCAGTTTGCCTGGTTTCATGTTTCCTCATACTCGCTGAGCAGTTAGTTAAAAAGCAAAGAGCAAAACAAAACAAAAAGCAAACATCTGGTGAAAGCGGAGACCATCCTGAATTGAGGCAGTCATTCCAAAAAAAAAAAAAAGAAGAAGAAGAAGAAGAAAGGAAGATTTGTAGCCCAAAACGTGCTTCAAATGTAGACTGCTGTCTCCTCAGATCACTGGGGACAGGTACTGAAAAACACATTCGTGCTTTAGAGATTGAAACTATCTCTGTCTTGGGAGAGGCATTTCTGATTGAGATCTACTTGCTTCTTGCATGTGGTGCTCATAAAACTTGGTGTAGGATTCATCAGGGTTTGCCTTCCCTCACTTTGGGGAAAAATCCTTAAATGATGGGATTCAGATTTCAGATGGAAATGCAGTATTTATTTGAATGATGATAATGCTTGGAAAAGCTGCTCTGTGAACAAAAGCAATCTCGTTTTAGCTTTTTGTTGAGAAAAAGCCAAGAGTTAAAGCAATGTGAGGCTCATCAAAATATTTTAGGTAGCAGAGTGTGTGTGTGCGTGTGTGTGTGTGAGAGAGAGAGAGGGGTGAACTTTTTGTAATCTTTCAGATAATTAGTGCATTTTCAAGTCATCCAAGATAGCCCCACTTTCTGAATCACATAGAATATCACACAGAGCCTCCAATATACCTACAGTGAGTGCTGAGCGTGCTGCTTAGCGGTGGTGTGTACTGTGGGGGCCTCCCTACGGCACCGTGGCCACCATGGCCACTCTCCATAGAGCTGGTGTTTGCTTGCAGAGCCATCTTCTGAATCCTGCATAATTCACAAGAGAAGACAAGTCAAAAGAGGAAATATGAAATTATAACAGCTATTGTTTCTAAATGCAAACAAGGTTACCAGCAAGTCAACTTATAATAATGGATTCAGCACTTTTCTCACTGCATAGCTGAGACTCAAGATCCTATGTTCTCCTATATGTATATGTTCTGAGTTTAAATTTACTACTATCAGGAGAAGCTATGAATAGGTAGACTGTTTCGTGGATTTATCATAATTATTGGTAAAAGCCTCCATGCTAATCTCAAGAAGTCTAGCTTCAACTTCCACTCAGGTGGTATTGAAGCAGCCTACGCTGCAACTACAGTGTTGAGTCATCACTCATCATCATTTGGGTTGCTAATAACTTATTAAAGTGCCAAGCTAGTTCAGGTGAACCTCATGGTTCCACAGCTACTCTCTGTAATAATCAGGCACTGTTACTGTGGGAGCAGACATTTTACTGTCTTGTTGAAAGGGTTTTAGGAGAGAAAAAGTTGCTGTTCAACTAGCAAGCTGTTTTACTATTCATATTTTTGTCAAGCATTCTGAGGTGCAAAAACCCCATTTGTTTGCTTGTTTCTTGCAGGAACAATACATTTTTATTCACCAGTGTGTGCAGTTGATGTGGCAAAAGAAGAAGCAGCAGTTCTGTATCAGTGATGTCATATATGAGAACGTCAGCAAGTCCTAGTTCAGAATCACAGGTGGTGAGTCAAGCAAACCTGTCCTTGCATAGTCCTTGCAGTTTATCACCTTGGCTGCTTGGTAGCAAGTGATGTTTGTTCCCTTGTGCTCCAGGAGCTCTGCTTGGGATGTGGACTATATATGTGTGTGTGTGTGTATATGAATTAGAAATATATTTAAAAGATCTATTTAGTTTCTTGCATTAAGTAAGCTGTCATACGTCCCATAGTAACTTTATTGTAGCGCTCGTTGTTTAAGGGAAAGAAGAATCCTAAAAAAAGCCATCACCAATTCCTGTCAATTGTTCTAATGTACTCTGCAAAATTTGAAGGGATCAGGGAGGGACCCTTTACACAGCAAGGACACAAGCAGCCAGTTACTGCTGCTTGAGCGATGAGCTTTAGTTCATTAGGTGGCAGCAACAAGCTGCAAGCCTGACACTGGCTTGGAGGTGAAGCAAGAAACCAGCACAGGCAGCTCATAGATAGCCAGGCCCTGGGAACTCGTCATTGCTAGCCTCTGTGGTCTTCATTTCCCAGCCCAGAAATTCAGCCACGACTTTGCAATATGCTTCAGCTTTCTTGATTTTAGGTAGCTCACTGTCTAATCTGCATCCCAGAGCCTGGGTGTTTGCACTGGTGGCCTGTAGTGCCTTCCTGTACGAGGTAAAAAGTAAATGCTAAGGACTGTATTTACTTCCTTATTTGTCTCTTAATTCATTGTTTTTCTCTGCTTTCTATGTTCCAGGTGAGACCATGAAGCACACCCATCTTCCCTTGCTTCTGAATTATTTTTTCTTTGGATGGTTTGAACTGCCTGTTGTTCTGCCATGAGAGGTCACTGCTTTGCAGTACGCGGACAGTGAGAGAAAGAGAGAAAGGAAGAAACTTTAACTTTTAGAAGCACTGGGGAGACAAAGCCTTAAAGAGCCTGCGGTGTCTTTTGAACTGTTTAATTTCTGGACTTTTTTTTTAAACTACTGGACCAAATTTGACTAAAAAACACAAAGGAAAAGACACTATACTATGTGTATAATAGATTGTTCCAGAGTGCTTTTTTTTTTTTTTTTCCCCTCCCCTCTCTCTGTGCAGGTTGGGCTTAAGGTTAAAGCAAGTGCAATATTTTTTTTAATGGTCGAATGAAGAGCTTTCTTCATGTGTCACTGGTCTGTGCTGAAGTCCATAGGAGAGCAGGCATTGTTAGTATCTAATAATACCTCATTAGTGAATAGCGAGGCATGAATATACATGGAGAAATCTGGAGATTGTGAGGAGGCAATTTGGGGAGGGGGGCGGTGCTGGGTACACTGGTTTTTATTGTTTCCTGCAGCACTGATGTTCTGTACTTGGGGAAGGTGGGGAAAATGCAGGACCCCATGAACTGATTAATGGTCAGAAATCCAAACCATGAAGCCTAAAGCTAGAGTAGGCAGCCTACAGTGAGAAATGTGGTTGTTTTGGTTCTGGACTGTGCTAGTTAAGCAGCAGGATGGTTCTTTTCTCCAACCTTTTCAGTAATGCCACTGATGAGGTTCTTTTTTATTAATATTTTTTAAGATAACGCTAATTGAAGTGCAGATGAAGCTGAAGCTGGAATATCTTTGACTCTGTTATTATAACATTTAACTGTCCAGGCAGTCTATGGTGCCTCTACCCCTCTTTTTTTATTATTTTTATTTTTAATATGTATTAACCCCGTGTGAAAAAAATGTGAAGCTGATTCAGGTTGGGGAAAGAAAAACATGTGCTTTATTGGTTGCAACTATTTTTCCAAGCCAGGAATTTTCGCTGTCCTGGAGAGCAGGTTTTGGGCATGCGAAGGGATGGTTGTTGCTGTATCGCTACGAGGCTGCCAAAGCGTCGGTCTGGATTCCTGCAGGGACTTCGGGGTCAGGGTGGGTGGGAGCTCTTCTTTTTTTTTTGCTGTCGGTTTCTGTTCTAGTCAGAATAACTAGCTATATATATATATATTTTATTTTTTGGTTCGGTCTTTGTATAATTCCGGTACATCATTGTGTATTGTGACCTGGATGCTGTCAGGATGGATGTCGATGGCATTTTTGTAACCTGTTGCTTTGTGTCACCTCATTGGAAGTTAGCGGCAATGGTACTCAATGTAAACAAAGCAAACTTGAACTGGAAGTAAAATGCACTGGATTGCTTGCCTGTGAAGCTGTCACTGTGGGCCAAGCAGCAATGCCCCCCGCGCACACGCTCCATGTGCCCCCATGCAGAACCCAGTTACTTCCAAGGAGCGTGATCTCTCCTTCAGATGGGATCAGATTTTTTATTATTATTACTACTTTTCCACCATCAGGTGCGTATTTAGTAGATATATTGTCACAGAAATGGTTACTGTGTAAAGCCTCCTTTAAACTGTTCCTGATATGCTGTGCAAAACTGCGTAGGCACAGCCTAACCTTTCCCCCTACCCTGCAGAGAAGCCCAAGACATCCTTGTTAAAAACACAAGCAAGTCTCTGCCTCTTATTAAGTGGGTATGATACGAATTTGTGCCCCAAGTGCTCAGTCCAGAGCACAGGCCATGCTCTGATCTCCTGACTTTGCCCACTCCTCACACTTTCCATCAGAAGTCCTTTCTAAGAAGTCCTGCTTTGCCAGGACTTAAAGCACAGCTACTATTTTCCTAAATAAGATCCATAAAGCTGATACAAATGGTTGGATAGCTTTGTCTTTTGCAAGGAGATTACTAACAAGAAAGGCTTCAGCGTTATGGGTTTGCCACTATTTCCCATGCGTGGAGGCTAGCCGTTGCACTAGACATGAGGAAAGTGGGCCTGGTCTAACCTGAACAGCAGCCAGAAATGCAAATGTGCACTTGACCACTCAGCCCTTGGGTTTGCCCTGTTCCCATTTGTACATCAGAGCGTCATTATGTGCTTCCTGAGGAAAACATGGCACCTCCTCTAGAGAATTTCCAGAGGGGAAAAAAAATCCCATTTTCTCATGCACTGCTTCACCCAACTGCTGTCCTTTGTCCATTGATAGCACAGAACAACCAGGTTACTTGTAAACACTCATACACACACAGAACATCATGGTGGGAGCTGACTGTAGCAAAATATGGCCTGGTCATGACATGGTACTGGATGGATGGCTGCTGCAAAGATACTGCAATGGTACCATTGCAAGTGATCCTGCCTTGATAGCCTGCATGTACTAAGCAGGTTTTCAATACAGGACAAAGAATTATTCAACTACCTGTTTAACAGCAGGTTTTTTCCTTTAATACCTCATCACAAAATTGGTATTAATGAAACTACATAATTCAGTGTTGAGGTGGCAATCGAAATCTCTCTTAGAGGGCTTTAAAGATGTAGCTAAAGCAATAAAAGCTTCTGGGAGACGTGGTGCTTCAAAAGTACCATGCAGACCCTTTTAGAACAACATGGTACATGACACCCTCAGTTTTACTTTGTTACAGTTATTGAAAGCTGCTCCAGAAAAAACTATACTTTGGATTCACGCTGCATGCTGACACACTTTCTGCTATCCATCAAAGCAGACCTCTCAAGCCATTGCAGATCTGTAAAGCTGCCTCAGCCCTCTGCTCCCGATGAGCTTCACTGCTGCAGCCCTGCTGATACCATCTCCACCTTGTAGCGCTGCGCTTGCAGCACCGACAACTGCAGCTGCACGTGAAAGCAGCTCTGCACACTGAACCACCATTCATCTAAACCAGAGAAGGGGTTTTTTTCTATTATTACCCCTTCCGTGCATGGTCACAGGAGGGAAGCAAACAGGTAAAACTAAGGACGTGTCTAGTAGAGTGAAGCTGTCAGAGCTGTACATGAAAATGTCTCTTCTAACGTGCCCTGAGCAATGACTCCTGTTATTTCAAGCCTACAACCTTGCAACCTCCTGCAAGGATTAAGAACAATTCAAAAAGCTTTATTTCATTTTTACAGCTTCTTTTCCATGCCTGAAGAGGATAAAGTCACCCATTATCGAATACTCAACACACAGCCCTGTGCATCAGGGTAGCCTTTCCCTCCCCATTAAGTTCATCATTCGCGTACTCACACTCCCCTGGCCTGCATCTAACTGTTCAAAGGCCATGTATGAAAACATGAACTCTATACAGCCAGGCAAAACCTGTTGCTTTTGGCCACTTCTTGTGAGAAGATAACCTTGTTAGTGCTGATTAAATGGATGGGATCAGCAAGTTTTGTGCTTTCAGTGACAGGCATCAGGGGTGAGTGGGAAGCATCGAGGAAGCCCCTCTGTTTTCTTTGCTCTCCTTCTTTCCTAATCTACAAAAGTTATCAAGAAGTAGGAGCACAAACATTAATATCCCACTACTGTTTTGAATCCGGATGCCAGTGTAGGAAAAGGTCAAAGCAGCAACTCTGTGGTGGTAACTAGAGAAAAGCTGAAGACAGGCACTGAAGAGCCAAAGACGCACAGGCCTGCATCAGCTGCACTGCAGAGGAACAGCAGGAAAGGCTCATCATGTCTGCACTTACTCACAAATAAAAGTAAAATAAAAAAAGAAAGCTTAAACCACACTGTGTTAGCTTTTATTGGGTTTCTATCTGTTCCGTTAGCTAAATTAGCAAAGTTCTAGAGTTACTGTCCAGCACTTCCAGGGACAGTTTAACAGTTTCACAAACACTGACGAATACGCTTAAAGTCACTGGCAGCTCAGCACATTGCAGAATAACACATCTCTTCAAATGCTTCCGAATCAAGCATTGATTTTTGCACATATCAACACACTGAAAATCTGCATTTATTTTCTGGGCCCAAAGTAACAGTTACTGTGTTTGATATAATACAATAAAATAAAAATGATTTTGGAGCAATGAAAGCACATTAAAAAAAAAAAAACCTCACTTATAAATCAGAGATTGTCCAAGCTGAGCACTGTCTAACTGCTGAGTGAACAAACCCTGCTAAGACTTGCCCCCAGTCCCAGTTAAAAATGCAGATTTAATGACAAAGTAGTGATTATGTTATCAAAGACCACCTCTTTCCCCACATTTGAAAAGGCACTTTTATTGACATTTCCGTAACGGTTTCGCTTCTTTTTCAAAAAGACACTCATGTATCGCATTTTCCTAAAATATTAACATATATAAAAAAATTCTTCCTCTACTCAAATCCCACAGAAAATATTTTGAGTGAAATTTTGCATTGTTGATTTTGACCATCACTGTTGACACTGAAAAAATAAAATATTTTATTTTCACTTAGTTAATCCCAAATTAAATTTCCTTCTGATTTCTCATTATTGCCATCAAGCTGAAAACTCAAAAGACTTTTCAGGTGGAGGTGAGAAGCTCACCAGTGTGATTTAAATCACCAAGGTAGTTTTTGCCCAAAAAGGAAAACATCTTAGTGTGGCCTTAATGCCACTTCAATTTCAGACTGCTATGCAAAATCATGCTAGTTTAGCACAGTTAAAGGGTAAATTTCACCTTCTGGCTGCATTGTGTTAGTAAGTCATTGCTATTTAACTAAAAGAAACACATGAACAAACAAACAAAAATAGGTTATCCTCCTCATTAAAGTACATGGATGAGATGGCCTATTTCCCTCCCACATTATCTCCAAAGATGCCTCTGGCCATGCTGCTCCCATTCAAACTGGTCTGTTTTTTCTCCCCACCAGTTAACAATAACATAGCAATGTAGCTTCAAAACAAGGTATGAAGCTGCCTCTTGCCTCTCAGGGACATAATATGGTGCTTATGCCAAGAGCCACAAACACAGAAAATCTTGCAGCCAATTTCTCCTTTCGGGAAAAAGCAAACGTATGTTGCATGCTGAGATAAATCTGCAGAATATGAAAATGGGATTCATATTTTGACCACTGTCGAGGTAATAGGGATGAAAGTAACCAACACAACACCTTTGCTGATATCAACACATTTTTCACCTGGAAAGATAACAACTACTTTTTAAACATTAGTCTCAAAGAACTTTTAAGAGGCTTACACCTGCTGTATGTACAAGTAAAGTAGCATCCACATAGAAATAGCTTCAGACCTTGCTTTATTTTGTTAGTCACTCATTACCAAGAAAAGGGCATTTTTCTGTACAGTAAATACTTTTGGGGCTAAGTATAGACAATTAAGTAGGATGAGGAAGAGAAAAAAAATGAATCAGATAATAGTTTAAGTCTTTGGAGGACTGGCCTTAACCTTTGATGATAGGACACATGGGGAGATGGACAACTGATGACAGGACACATAGGGAGATTAACAGTTTTATCCCGTAACTATCTATATAGGTTGACTAGATTCATTTATCGTAAAGATATTTTGGTTAAAGTGTTTCATACAGGGGCAGGGCAATCAAGAGTAATTATTTTGTCAACTGGGTATGACAAGAATCCATTTCTTGGCCACTGCAGACTTCAGCTTGGGCTTCTTCACTTCCTGATCCAATCCTGGAAAGACTGCATTTAAATGGCAGGTGTAGCACTGAGTACTTTAACAAGCATAAAGAACAGATATTAAAATGTAAAAATATACATGTATATATATAAATATATATATATGAAGAGACATAACCAGCACACAGCAATATTTTAAAGGCATTTACAATGAATGGCACAAAACACCTTTATTAAGATTGGAATTTTTCTTTTATGAAAAATTAATGTGACTTTTTTTTTTTTTTTACTTTTATGCGGAGGAAGAGCAAACTAATGGCAAAAATCAAGAACACTTTCTTATTTCAATACCATCTTTGTACGCACAAAGATACAACAATTTAACAGACATGAAATACTGTTTATTGCAGACTAAGCTGATTCATGTGAAAAAGGCACTAAGAAACTTAAATGAGATGATTAAATGTCTAAATTAAGTGATATTATATATTATATATAATACATATATTATATATAAAATCACAAGACGATGTGAAACAACAAACATTTTGGTGATAAAAAAAAAAAAACACTGCATCTTCAAAAATAGTATCTACTGGAACGGATGTTCCTTTTCTCCCCTTTTGCTTCCAGGAATCCACTTTTTCAAAGGTTTAAGTCTATAAAGGAACAATAACAACCTTTTTTTACATACAGAAAAATAGATGTGGGATCAACACAGAAAGAAGTCTAGATTATACACTGTTCTTCGACAGGTTAAGGTACAAATGAAAAAAGGAAGTACTGCAAATTCTTTAAATTTTTAAATTATTTTATGGCTACCTATAGCAGGTCTGATCACCTCTTTCAGCTGACTTGTGTTACTATTTTATCTATTTATTCCTTACGGTGTAATATTATGGTTCATCATGAGTGAAGCATTGATTAAAAAAATCAAAGTACAGAGTATTATTTTGCCATACACAGCATCGTTAGTAATAACACATCAAGAGTGGTGCAATAAAGATTCAGTCTATAGTGGGGCTGCTGTTCATTAATTAAAATTTTGTTCTTTAACTACTGACACCAATGACTTCATTAAACATCCTGTAGATGAATGCAATAGAAAGCCTGAGCCAAAAGGCAGAATTGCAAACTACAGCAGAAGATGAAATTCAAAATCTTATTATTATTGAAGGGTTTGAATGCTTTTTTTTTTCCCCATTGCTGGCTCAGCTTCACTAAGACGAATCCAAAACAGAGACATGTTTCAAGTTTCTCTCTCATGGAATGATCACTTCTATAAAGCCAAGACTTCTCCTTGGGTGTGATTCAAGTGCCAAATATTTTCACTTGCCTGCATCTTTCCTTGAATTTCTAATCTATTCATTTTGAACCATGAGAGGCCAACAGCAGGTATTCTGTGAAAACTAAACGTAATTCTCTTTATGGTGATTAGTCATGTTTACAAGGTAATAAGACTCCTTCACTGCTTCCTAAAGCAAAGTATGAGGTTATAATGTTAGGAACAATGGACTTAAAGAAAGGAGGAAAGACATTTAGTGGCTGCTTGCTTCATCAAAGGACTCCACTCCTGAATCTGTGGCAGCTGCACTGATTTTTTCTTGTCGTCTTCTCATTATTTCTTGCAGTTCTGAACTACCACTGTTAGCCTATAAACAAATGAAACAGAACAGGAGTTATTTTGCGGTGGTGACATAGAATGAAGATTCTCTAACAACATTTTAATAAAAGAGATGCTTGAACAAGTTAAATCTGCCTTGAGGCTCCACAGCTAAAGATGCACTAAGAATAAAATGTTAAATAACATTTGGAATAGGAACCGTTTACACAGCTCTTGACTGTTGACCAAAAGAGTCTGCAGGTGATTAAAAATGTCCTCCTGCCTTCTAACACCGTAAGATCTTTACTTCTCACACAAGTCCTTAGAAATGTTGCATATCTGTAGGGTAAAATGCTGCCTCAATAAATACACAGTTAAAAATCCACCAAGTTGGTTAGCATTCCACTTTAAAATCAGGCAATTATAGTTGGAAGTTGTAACACATAGATTTGGTGGTTTTGTATTTATGGAGACACAAATTTAAGGCATTCTTGAGGATTTGCAGAACCATGGTCTATATAAGGATTCAGACACAGCCTTGGTATTCCATATTACAGAAGATGTCACCATGCATTCGCTCCAGAGACAGGGATTTCAAACTTAGAACACAACAATATAAATTGAATCATATTAGCACTGTGACAAGGGTGTTGCCAGAGAAACAGTATTGTTAACAGGATTGTATTTTCTATGTTAGGATGAAAAGCTACAGTAAAAGTCTGCTGAGCGAGCTGCAAACAGGGTACTCTGAAAGCCTTAATGAAGGCCTGGATGGATATTCACTAGAGCAAAACTTGCCAAAGCATGCAGTGCACACCTTTGAAAGAGACAACATGATTATAAAACCTCCGAAAACAGCACCATGGGGAATATCCTGAGATGTGCATCTTGCCTCCTTCTGAGACACTGCTGTGCACCAGCACCATTTTCTCCCCCAGAAAAGAAAGCAGCTTTTGGCCTCAACTCTTTGCTGCCTTTGACAATTTTTTTCCCCCGCAGTTATCTATTTGCTAGGGCAGGCCCAGAAGCCTGTAAACCCCAAACACCTTCCTGTATTTGCAGTCCGTTACTAGGTCATGTTTATAGAGTGGCCACAAAATTCCATTAGGAGTTTTGTTTCCTCTCATGTTTTATATTCTGGTTTGATACGAGGTTGAATGGACTAGCCATTAAAATAAAGCAAAACAACTCAAAAAAGTAATATTTCTGAATTTCATCTGTTTGAGGTCGACAAATAAGGCAGGTGAGGATCTGGTTTGTCAATATTTGGGTATACAGCCCCAAACCCGAGACAGGTAGGGCCTTCACTGGCTTGCAAAAGTGAAATGAACCAGGAAATAGTTGTGGAAAATCCTGTGCAGAAAGAGGAAATAAAGACCAGGCAAAGAGTTTTGCGATATTAGATAGCACAGGGGGTTATTTCATCTCTGGCCACTATTGTTCTTTGTCCTTAATGTCCAAGTCATTTACTGAAATCAGACACTACAAATATTACATAAAGGATGCCAGGACTACAGAACTTTTATGAAATTTTGTCATCTGTTAATCTCATACAACAACTACTGTGGTCAAATCCCCAAGTTTTTTATAAAAGTATTCAATTACATTTGATTATACAACAGGCATGACACAACCAGTAGAGGTATGTGTAAAAGCTATATAAAAGTGTTCAATTACATTTGATTATACAATAAGCATGACACAATAGCATGATACAACCAGTAGAGGTATGTGTAAAAGCTTCTCTTGCAGGAAATGTTTCCATTTTGAGCAGTAAAAATGTTATTTGGAACAAGTAAACTTGTTATTTGGTAATACGTAGATAAATCACTGTTACTAGTGAACTGTACTAATTTTTTTTAGATAACCATCAATAAGGACACTCATTCTTTAACCCTGGGACTTGAAATACTTCGCATATCGAAATGAAAGTGCTTCAAGTTCTTTGTATTGCACCACACCGGGTCCTAGTGCAACCACATCTGTCAAAACTCAGGTAACTGAAGCAGAAAAATATTTATTTTACGTACACATATGCAGCTATAATAAGCATTTCACTAACAAAATCCAATGATTAACTCTCAGTACCTGCTTATTGACACTTGCAGATCACTGATCACACAAGCGCTGATTGCTCAGTTTCCTGCAGTGTGGATAGCTAACTGAGGCACGCAGAAAAAGAGCAGAGTGGAGGGGAAAAAGGATAGACTCTACAGATTTGGTGCATTTCTGGTTTTCAAGCCAACTTCTACCATAAAGATGAAAAGAGCTTTTTTAGATATGTAAAGGAGGGACACGCATATATGTGCAGAACCACCATGAAGTTAATTTAACTCCCTATGAAGACACTAGGTCATTTGGCAGGACACAGAACTCCTAAAAAGGTAATTTCTTTTCAGTGTAGTAATTTTCTTTTCAGTGTAGTGCTAAAACTCACTTCCCCAACCTCCTTCACTGAGTCAACATCCCATGTATAAAGATTACATAAAGTTTTTTAATCACATCCTGAAACACCTTTTTTAAAAAAAAAAGAATATTTAAGAAAGGGAAAAATGAAATATTTTCAAAGTTCTAAACCACAGCCCACGTTCTACTTAATAATGATATGCAAGTAAATGTGTGTTCAAGCAATTTTAACACTTTCTTTTTCACTCTTGCATCCCAGTAGACAGAGGTCTCTTTTTAATGGAATTTAAATGACATTAACTAACATTTTAGAATGTTTGAAGAATTTGCATTTATCTTTACTAGAAAGTGATTAATTGTGTTGGACTCTTCTGTAACGGCTTATAATCCTAAACACAAAACATTTCTCCCCTCCTTTAACAGGAAAATGGGGCTAGAATAAATAAATAAAAGAAGTTCAAGCTAGGGATAGAAAGAACTCTGTGACCCACACTGATTGATAAATTGTACACTTGTCATCCAACCTCCTCTTTAAAATATGCCTGGTAGTAAAAACTTAATTATTTAAGCAAGACAGTCTGAGCTTGGTGAAGCGAGACAGACTTTTTTTTTCCCCAAGTTTTTTTTTTCTTCTCTTTTTTTTTCCCCTCCTAAAGCAGGATGTGAAGACTATAGCTTCTTGCTTGGGCTAGTCTCATTTGAAGACCATACTTATGAACATTTATGTACTTGATGTGGCAAGTATAAAATAAAAGGGGAAGAGGAAGAGAAAGGGCATTTTGCTCTCTCCTGAGATTTCTCTCCAAAGGGCCTTTTTTGGCTCATTTGTCTTCCTGCAACCTCAGGATCTTGATTACGGGACACGATGCTCTAAGCTTCAAGACTTAAGTACAAGAAACCTCCACCAAAGCTTTATCGAACTTTCTTAGAAGCAGGAGTGAACGGCACTATTTTTAGGACTACTGCTTTAATAACTTAATACCAAAATCATAGGAACCAAGGAAAAACAAAACAAAATAGAAAACAAGTGTCCCACAGAAAGGGCTATTCATCTCCACCAAATTCAACCAAACAAAATTTATTTCACGGCTATCAGCAACCAAGAAGGGTTGTACCCACCTCTAGGGCCGATTTCTGTACCGTAATTTGGCTGTAGACTCGAGACCCTTCGGGGCAGACGGTCCTCAGTTCCTCCTTGTTGAGGGAGAAGAGCTGCGCTCCCGTCAGCACACCGAGGCTGTTAACAGTGCTAGGAGCCACGACAATGATAGAACAGACCACAAATGAGTAAAAATGCATTGGCTAAGTGAAAGAACAACACTGGTATCCTATTTTACTCAGATAGGGCCACCAAATAAGAGAAAACTTCATGCAGTGGCACACGCAAAGACAATGCATTATGTGTCACAGTCAGTACGTCTTCATGGAGGCTTTTACATAAAATTTAAAGAAAATATATGTACATACACACACACATATAAAATACTTTTTTATAAATATAACTATACATAAATTTTATATATATTTAAGCTTTATATATCTATAAGTTTTCTCTGTCTTTCCTCAAGACTTACACAGGGTTGAATCCTTTGGACTGCAACCACGCTTTGACATCCTCAGGTGACGAGTCGTAAGTAATATTAACTACAGGGATGTTAGGTCGTGGCACGTGGAACTTCCTCTGCGCAGCGCTCCGGCCGATGGTGAGCCGGTGAATGAGTTCATCCTGCACCTCCTCCATCTGGGATTTCCTACCTGCAGAGGGAGGACGGACACGGACACCACAGCGGTTACTTTCAGGGAGATGTCAAAATAATTATAGTTTTTAAAAAGTGAGATTGCTTCTTTTACCCTGCTGTAAACCTTAATATATTTTTTTTCTCTTTTTTCCCCCCTTTTTCTTTTCTTTGATTTTAAAACTGATTCAGTAAGTCTGATTGAATTTTTGTGTTACTTTTATTTTCTTCCCTTCCTCCCTATGCAAAAATATAATTCATTTCACAAAAGTAGGCAGAATCCAAAAGGGTGTAACTCTCTTTTCAGGCACGAAAGAGATTCACTTAGCACAGTTAAACTTTGTCCACAGGAACTCTAGTATTACTATAAAATGCTCTAATACAGAACTTTAAGTGACCTCACAAACTCTCAGGATCTCTTTAGGATGGTATTTTCAGTCAGCTTTATGTAATATTCTCACTTTGATACACAAGCAGTACAGCAATTTCTCTAATGGACTCTGATGTCAAAAGTCATTCCCTTTTTCCAGTTGCACTGATAACAAGGGAAGATGGCCGCCTCCCAAAAAAAGTGCGGGATTGCAAAAATGCTTCCTTCTCTGCTTTCCTTTTAGATTCCCCCCAAATCTCCCCAAGGACCAACGTCCACTTTTTGTGTGTGAGAGCGTGTGTGTGTGTGTGTGTCAGTCAAAATAAAGAACAAGCTCTGCATGAGCTTCTTCTTCGTGAATCACCACCACACACACACACACACACAAAAAAAAGCCTCTTTTTGCTATTTTCTCTATTACAAAATAGCCCCAGGTTGTAAGGGAACAAATAATAAAAGTCTTTGAGGCATTCAGACTGTTGGTATATATATATTCTTTCAACTCAAGAGCTTGAATCAGATGCCGACATGACGTGCTCAGTGATATGTGAAGGTCTGAGGATGCGATACATGAGTAAAGCCTTTAGGCAATGTTACCGAAGCATGACCCAGTTATTTCCCCAAACAGGAAGACAGCAAGAAAATTGCTATCTCCCTTCTATTTACACAGATCTGAAGGACTTACATTTGAGCTAGACCATGACTATACCAAGAGATAAATATTTAGCTGCTAGACATGAGATTCTTACTGGGTTTAGACACGCTATTACAAATATATAAAATGAAGTCTCAGCTTGAAGCAGCGTCTCTGCTTGTTACTCTTGGCAGGGTTCAGGTGGCTCCCTGGGCAGGAGCCACACAAGCACAGCCACCCCTGTCCTTTGCAGGAGCAATTGGAAGAAATAACTATGAGGTACCTAAAGACTATGAGTGTTTCTGTGATGGCGAATTGTAAAGGTGTTAGTAGAAGTTTTCCTTCCCAAATAAACTGGAAAGAAGGCAATCTAGGCTTTGGGTAAAGACACCTGCTACAGCATGTGATTTCAACTTTAAATGGAACTTTGGGCAATCATTTCTATGTGAGTTCTTTCTCACTTTCCTCAACTTTTAAAACCATTCAGTTTCCTGTTTTCATTTAAGTAATACACCATCTAAAATAGGACAAAGGTAGAAGCTTTCTTAGGGGAAACAGCAGGAACGCATATTTCTCCAGGAGGCTGTTCTCCATTTACAATTTCCAGCCAAATAATTTGTTGATGAAACAAAAATGGTCTTGGTGCAAAAGGGTCCCAGCCTAGCTGAGTTCAGACCTTAGGGTCTTGCCTGTCCAACACCAGGCAAGGTGAAAACAGCCTCCCCTGGCTGCATTTTGCACCCCTAGGGCTGCTTATTCCAGAAGGCATGCAGGAGGAAGAAAACCTTTCTGCAGAAAGGAATCCCAGGTCCCTTTCCCACCCCCAAGGGAACTAGGAGGTTTTGACAGGATGGTGGTGATGGGGATGGGAAAAGCTGCCAACTCTTGAGCAAAAGCTCATTATTTTCTTTTGATAGTGTTTGCCTTAATAGCTATAGCTAACACATGCCCATGAGTTTTAGGTGGTGGTAAGCTAAGCAACTGCATTGCTTAAATGAACTTTTAGGGCAAAAATTACCAATTTATAGCATAAGTTCTTTCAAGCCAACTTTTGGCTTTCAATTGATACAGTATAAAACCTGAGAGTTAGGAAGATCTGATTATAAAATGATTCTCCTAAGAGTTCCTATGCATCAGCTAGACCTGCAAGTCTCTGGCCTTGAATACGTGCTCCAAAATGGTGTAAACACCCTCAAAATATAGTTAACCATCAATGAAACTGTAAAGAAACATTATTTTAAAAGCGATTTAGATGGTAATGCAGCAGTGAACCCAGGAGGAAAGCATACGTTAGCCTATCAGCACTTGCAACAGTACTGTCTGTAACTAGCGGCATCCAAAGAGATGTAAAAGAGCGGGTGAACTTACGATCCACAGGAAGCTGCTTGTGCCTCTGGCTGTCGCGTGCCACGCTGCCGCCGCCGCTGTCACTCGACGTGCTGCTCTGACGGCTGATGGCCGGGGCTTTGGGCACGGGGACGGGGATGGGTGCTGGGGTGCTGGGAGGGAGCGGGACAGCCACGGGGATGGGAGCGGGCGTTGGGGGTGGCGACGGAGTGACGGGAACCGGGTCGGGTTGCTTTGCAACGTGGTCCATCCTTTGTTTCTGAAAGGGTTCAGAGAGACACGGTCAACGACAGAGCTCGGGCAAGAAGTCGGAGGAATTCAGGTCTTTGCAAAAAAAAAAAACGCTCAGATGTTTAGGCACCAACTCATCTCGTTTATTCCAGAAAGACACCTTTCTTGCTAGATATGAGTTTCAAAGTTTGCCCAAACCTGGCTTCTCAGAATTCACAAGAATCACTTTACCTGCAATTCATTTCTTTCTTCTGGACAATGATTTCTATAAATGAAAGCACTAAGTTCAAAACTTCTGTTTGCTGGCCCTTTTGAACAGCTTCCAGAATTTCTGAATTCTTAAGTTTATCAGTATAAAAACATATGTTTTAGAGATATTAAATAAAAAATAGTGAAAACCAAACATACCCAGCCACACCTAAGCCTGACTAATGCTTTAACTTGTGAGGATTAATGAGATTGGGGTTACTCATTATTTCTTGAGCTATAGACATTGTGTAAGAAGTTCCTGCTCCTCCTACCAATTCAGTTGTGACATTTCAACCATTGTGCGACCATTACAAGCCACAGCTTTAATTTATTCAATTCAAAAAAAAATCACTAAAGTCCACAATACTTGGAATATTTTCCCCCTTCCTCTTTATGAAACATCTTTTGAATTTATACGGTTTTGTAGCTGTGGAAATTATCTTGCTATTAATAACTAACTGTGGTAGAAGTCACACACCACGTGTCTCAAGAGCAATTTTGAGGAATGCTTTCTCCTCCCCGTATTTGCCTTTAGAATAGTGCCAATTACAGCAAAAGGCATACCCCTTCCCCAAAGGGATCCCAGTGATGGACAAACCCAAAAGTTCATAAGCTATCTATACCACCCTTTTCTTTCAAATGGTTTGAAGTATACATCTCACTATTCCAACAGTGCTCCCTCCCTGCAGTTTTTGACCAACATAGCTCAAAAGTTTAATATTCAGGTTTGTTTGCTCAGGAGCAATACCTCGTTTCTGCGTTATGAGAAGTCTGCTTACTTTGGGTAAGAAAATAGATGAGCACATTCCCCAGACTCATTCCTTCTTCCTGAAATACCCTTCCCCATTTCCTTAGCGGTACAGGGTTTGTAACAGATTAAGTAGAAAAATATTTGTAGGAGCCATATGCTGAGTTTGAGCTGCACATCACTGCCCTGACAACAATCAAGCTTTCATTAAACCTCAGCCAGAGCCCTTACACAGAAGTCTCCAAAATAGTCTACAAACTAACTGGTAGGAGAAGGAGGAACGCAAGGCATTTCATGGTTAATATAAACGGGGACCATGACAGCCAAGCTGCACTGAGTTACACGACTGAAAAAATGTTTCCTAACAGCTTTTAGAGCCAACCAATCAAGCCTTGTTTCTATGTTCCTTCTTAATTTAAATTGTAGTGATCAGCTATTTAGGGATATATTATAGTCCTATAATAGTCTTCTCATTAATTCTATTTCTTCTTTTTTGTTCCTAGTGTTGTTCAAACATATTAACCTCAATTAGTTTTTGTTTGGCTGCTGCAGTACATTGTAGAGACTTAAAGTCATTGGATTTACTACTTCTATAATGACAATAATTGCTTTCAAAAACGTCAAATGACAAAAAAGTGATGTGCAGAATATAAAAAAGAACAGACAGAATAATGAATATTAAAGAAATCTGTCCTTTGGTAGAAACCTCAGTGCCATAGTAGGCATATAATAATTACACCATAATTTATAATATATAGATGTAGTATAGTATATCCAAAATAAGGTTGCTGAATTCTTCACAAAAATTCAAATGTCATACTGATATTCAGAAACAACATTATCTTGTTCACAAATTCAAAAATTCTGGAGCATTATCCCCACAATGCACTGTTTTGTATGCCCCCACCCCTGACCTTCTTGAACAACATGCAGAAACAAAGAAAGAGAACTAGCTCTTTTTAGAGCAGAAATGATCCATTACAAAGCAAGGCACCCACTGCATATCACTGCAATCACAATTCAGAAAGAGACAGCTAAACACTACATATAGCTCTAAATTGATGCTACTAAAGCAGTTGCTGCTGTTGTACTGCAACCACAAGCCTCATTCGAACAACCTCCTGTGAGTTGCAGTGAAAATAAAAAAGGAAGCCTCAGTCAACTTCTACATTTGCAGCCAAATTGAAATATGCTTCAAAGTTTATATTTTTTTGCACAAAAGCCAATTATACGTTAGTATCAATGTATCTTTTTTTTTCCTTCCTTTTTCCCCCTCCTTTATAACTCCAGATCTTTTGAGGATATCCAGATCTTCTTCTAGGTGCTTCTACTAATTTCTATAAACAAAGCAAACATGCACTTCAGCATTTGTAACTGCATAGCCCCAAAGACTCATTTCTCATATTCAGTATCAGAAGAGCAAATTTATTACCTCTGAAAGCTCTCCCAACAATTGCTGTGAGGGAAATGGAGTGGACACAACAAATAGTATTGTTAAAGAATTAAAAATAACTGCCTCACAACTCCTGAAATTTTATACACATTAGAACTTTAAAAACAAAAGAATATCAGTGCTAATAATTACCTCTTCTTACTATCAAAGCAACTAACATAATGAGTTATTTCCATTTTCTTCTTTTGAGTTACCATTAACACTGGTTTCCATAACATACATAAGTGATATCATATAAACAATGAGCTCTTTTCAAAACACCTAACCAAATAGACTGAAAACTTAGAAATCGGTGTAAAAAGAAAAAAAAAAAGAAAAAAAAAGAAAAAAAAAGAGAAAGGATATAAATCATAAGATAAACATGAGGAATGCTTGCAACTGTACAATACTAACAATCATATATATTTTTTTCCTTTCTTTTAAAAAAAGCACTTAAACTAAAGAATGTAGGCTGATTTACAAAATGATGTAAACATTACTGCTGACAGATATGTACCCAGCATTTTGCTGACTTCTACCAGAATGATGTTTATTTCCTCCCCCTCTTTATTTTTTTGAATGATGAGCCAAATTGTAACTCACCAAAATTGGAACAAATCCATCAAATTATTTGGAACAATGCTGATATACCCAGATTTTTAATAACTGTATAACAGAGAAGCTTTCTAGCATTTTTTTAAACAGAAACATCTTTCTATTCCACACAATGAATGCAGGTTTTGATTATCTTTATAAACATCTTGCCAAAAATCAAGATATTGTATGATTTGAGCTATTCTTCAGTCAGATCATGAGTCTCAGGAAAACTGATGAATATCAACTGTAACTCTTGATCACTGGAGAAAAATTGAGAACAATATATGTGAAAATATACACTACAAACAAGGTATATATGTTTTCAAACTACAGAAAACACAGACTTAATATTAAAGAGTCATCATATATTAACCATAATGAGCATAATTGCTAGGAAATGCTCTCATTAAGTTAATAAAAACACAGAGCTTCCTATTTATCCTCTTTTGGAACATGTTATTGTCACATCCTTGCCTGCACAGGGACAGATCTTCACCAAGAGGGTGGCAGAGCATTCAGCCTTGGTTTTGTCAACAGCATGGTGCTTTGGGTGTTTTCTTGAGACTCAGGCCAGGCTCTCCCATTTGGGACAGGTGCCTCCCTCCTTTGACTAGTTTTCAGACAACGTGAACCAACTGTTTGTCTATGACCAAAGGGACAATGAAGTACCCAAGATGGGGAGAGAAAATGTCAAGGGAGGTTTCCTTCAATGGGCTTGGCTATTACTTGCAGCCAGCCAGCTGGCTGTTAAAATCCCATTGCACGGCACCTAACTCACATTTTGTAGGGTATAAAATATATCTTTTAATCTGATTTATGAATCCCAAGCCCACAGCAGCAGGCACAAAGAAGTTGTGTGTGATAATGACTAGCATCATCAAATCTAACCCTTTTGACATATATGAGTCTTTCTACCCCATAGGCAGGCAATTACTTCTGAAATGAAAACACTGATACCAGGACAGCAGGCTAGAAAGCAAGATGCACCTTAGAATAGAAGGAACGGGTAAGAAAATTTAATGGAATTTAATTATTCAAATTGGTATTAGATGGTATGAGCCCCCATTTATTACAAAATATTTTTAGCAGGTGAACTGGGAACATTTAAGTCCTATTAATCAATTCCTTTTTATAGATATTCAATGGCCCTTCTGTATAATGCCATCCCACAATTTGGGACTGGAACAATGTTCAATTGGACAGAAAAATCACTATTTTTTAGATCAAAAAGTTCCGATTTGATAGTAACTTTAAAAAGCATTTACTATGAAAGGAGGTAAAACAGATACTGGCTCACAGTCAAGAATTCTGACATCTCTTTGGCCACTACAGTCTGAGCACCTGGCAACTATGTCTGATCACTTTGTGATCAGCAGGAGAGAGACCAGTTGGCAAAAGGTAAGTATGACACTAAGAACCAAGTTTGGGCACAAATGTTCTGCTTGAGGGGAAACCAATACCCACAGAGAGATATTTCAGGAGAATTGCTAAATAAAGAGACTTGACAGAAAGCCTGTGATGGTATGTTGCCAAGGAAGGCAAAGGATACTTGCCCAAAATGAGGTGGAGAATTTTGCCTTGGTGCTCAAGCATCACAACAACAAAAGACTATATAGAAAAGGTGTTCTATTGCAATAACTTTGGAAGTAATAAGAATTTGAAATGCAATAATGAAGGAAAAAAGATTTTAAAAAAATAACAGCTTAAACTATTAGATTAATTAAGATAGGCCTACGACAGTATACTATTGATTTCCACACAAACCTCCACAGTTAAGCTTTTGCTGACTGACAGCTGGTCAGCACTGAGCAATGCTGTGCCAAATCAGCACAGTCACTGTGGGGAACACGAGTCCTGGATCTCAGGAGACAACTCGGTCATTGGCATGGACCATGCTCACCCTGACACCAAGGGCAGCGCAGCCTGGCTTTCCACCTGGGACTGCACCATGCCCTTAGATGCACTGCCACAATGCTGAGGACAGTCGTGTGGCTTTATTTTCATTTCTTTTATTTATTTTTTAATAAGACTTCATGCTCTGTGCCTTAGTATTTCATGCATATCATGGACAAATACTTGCTTCATTCACAAAGGTTGTCATGAGATAATTTGTCACTCCCACAAAGATACATGCCTCTAGCCTAATTATATTTTCCAGTTTTCCCTTTAGAATAGTAGAAAATGTTAATAAAATGCCCAGTAAGGAAAAAAAAAATGCATTTATTACTTGGTCTCTAGGTCTACCAGGACATTAAAGTGCTTGGGAAACTTTTACATTCATATACAATGGGTGGTGAAGTTCTACCATTGTTTCATGATGAAAGCCAGACCAAAATGGCCCTAGGCCACAGGAAACACTGATAACCAGCGATTAACTTTAGTTGAAGATATAAACAAGCATCAAAATGCTCTACTAAATGTAGAGAAGTACTAAATGGTTAAGAATATTGTTTTACAGGAACTAATTCAAGAGTCTTTCCTGACCATGATAAAGGTTATGTTACAGTCTTGGACACACAGAAATTATGAAATAACTATCATATTGCTTGTAATCACAGAATCACAGAGTGACTGAAGGGACCTCTAGAGATCATCTAGTCCAACCCCCCTACTCAAGCAGGGACACCTAGAGGATGTAATATTTCTGCAAGTATATCACAACAAACTACTCAGTACTTTGAAGTAAGTATTTGGACGTGAATTCTAAATTGGATTGAGTGAAAAATCAAAATTTAATCCAGTCTGCCCATTCAGAGGCCACTAGCAGGAGGCACAGAGCACAGCTGAAATGAATTTGCTCTTCTGAGAATAACTCTAATAACTTTACCTCCACCTTTGAGAAAGGTCTTCAGTCTGTAGAATAATTGAATGCAAAAATAATGTTTCAATGCAATCCTTAGCCCTCCATAACCTGAAAACATATTTTTGTCACCTATGCTTTGAAGGCCAGTAGTCTGTAAACAAACACACTAACCTTGTACACAAATATAAATCCTCAGCATAAATAGGACCAAGGTGCTCACCTCCTTGTTAGCACACCACTTTGAAAGGCCTCAAATGCTTCACAGCTACAACAAAAGCCAACTGAAGAGACTGACAGAAACCTGTGCAGAACCCACTCCTGCTCTGTGTTTCCCCAAAGACACTGATGGGAATGAGCTTTTCTTTCCTGCCCTGCCTACAAGTTTTCCCATTTGACCTCATCGAAATAGCAGCACCGTGATCAAAATAAAGACTGTTACGCAAATGGGGCCCAAACAAACCATGTGTCTGTGACAGAAGAGACTGGTGAGCACACTCAGAAGTCCCAAATTTACAGTATGTCACCATACAATTAAGATCAACTTTACTGACACATGCCTTGACAAAGACTCCCTTTAACCTGCATAACTCATATTTTCTTAAATAGTTTCATAGCATCTCAAGCTCATATATAAAGAAAAGTACAACGAAAATAAACAATGGACTGTAGAGAACAACCTGACAGAGGGGAAAGAACCAGGTCATCTTAAATGCCACTCTCTGCCCCAGTGTGTGGAGAATGCTTTGTGAAAATGGGGATTTTATTACTTCTCATGGCATGTAAATATTTCATATGGAAGACTTCAAAACCTGCAGTGTGTTACAGAAAAAAATATCTCCTCAAAACTACACTCAGTCTGCTCAATATTTCTTAGCAAATGTCAAACACACACAGTTACATGCGCTTAAAGAAAAAAAGAAATCATATCTTTAAAGGAGGGTTTGAAAAGCACTCTAGACACATGCTTCATTTCACACACACACAAAAACCCATCAATTTCAAAAGAGTGCAAAAGGTGTTTGGCAAATATTTAAGGATAGAAAAAAAAAAACTCAGAAACAGTCTGCTTCGAAGACCACAAAGCTCAAGAGAGGTCTACCAGAGTGGAAGGCCAGAAATACCCTAAGACATGTTTCTTGAGAGACTTTGCATATCTCCGGGAAGAGTGGAAAGGCTGCATCTTTCATGTGAGTGATGCATACAGCATCTGCCACAGTGACAGTTTCAACTGTGACTTTTAGACCATTCTGCAATAAAGAAAGTTTAACAGCAGCATCATGGTACTTCTAGCTTTTCAGGCATCAGCTGGAGTGCTTAGACACAAGGAATGAATATTAAGTTAAATTAACTTAAATAAATTACAACTTTTAACACAAGTTTCGCTTGCATTTGGACTGAAAGTTTGATTCAGAGGCAGGCCTGGAGCTTCTGCTTGCTCCAAGCACATTTGCCTTGCTTGTTTACAAGCCTGCAGCCCACTCAAACCTAGTGCAAGAATGCACAGTACAACTGTATCATACAAAATCTTACTCGGTTGATAGCCACACTGGGGTAAGATTAATTTTTCCTGTCTGCTCTTTCTTGTTTGCTTGCTTTTATTATTTTATCCTGTAAGTCTATGTACACAAAAAATAACAAAAAATACTTAATTCTATACCACAACATAAAAATTAGGCCAGAAGCCTAGATGCCATTGATGTACACAGATGACAATTGAAAAACAGCTGCTTTGTGAATTCAGGCACCTATTTTCTTACAACTCCAAAATTAAAGTAATTAAATAAATTCAAGACCAAGATAGAGACACACAAAAAGGCAGAAAAGAGAAGTTAATGTTCACTCTCCTAAAGAAAACAAAGATGACCCTACCTTAAATAATTCAAACTCCTTCTTTGGCATCAACAGCTATCAATCCACAAAGGATATTTGCAATTGAAATAAACGCATAAACTTCCATTAGGATGGAATTTACCACCTCTCAGTAAACAAGCAGAAAAACAAAAAAACACTTAAAGACTTCACTATATTTCTGTCAACTTTATTCTCGTGTCAGACTCTAAACAATATAGAAATCAACTTCAGCCTTTAAAAGAAAGAAAAAAAGTCTTCTGCTATATCAGTGAAACATGCAATACTAAGTTTTGTTATTGATATCTGTCCTCCAAAACACATGCATGTCCGCTTCAAAAGAAAATATTGCTCCTAAAGAGCGGGCTTACCTGGATGGTGCGGGTATATGCAGGTTCTGGCCATCCTGAACCACCTTCTTGACTTCTCAGTGGGTCCAAAATGTTGTTTGGCACAAAGCCTGCACTGCCACTTTTATTCTGAACCTTCCACCACTGCTTCCTGTCATCTAGAATCTGAAATAATTTGGCAAGTTAATTACATATTGTTTTCCTACTTTTCTCCTGTCAGCACTTAGTCTTTGCATAATACAAAAACAAAACTGCAATTTTGCCAGTTTTCATGTTTTCTGACAGGTCTTACATAGACGCTGCTAAGGAAGCACTGATTATCCTTGATTATCACCATAATTAATAGTACATTGTAGTGCTGCACTTTTTAAAACACACATCTGAAGAAAGGACTTGAAAGAAAAGTATTTAATGAACTCATTTAGTGAACTCAGGTCAGCTCACATGTGAGGGACAGCAGTGAAACGCCCGTGCAAAGATGATGGATGGCATCTCAACAGTCCATCTACTGCTGACAATCAGAAAATGTAACTCCAAGCATGGAGGAATGCGTCATTCTAGGAAGGCACAAATTTGGAGACTGAGCATTTCTGAGTAAAGGAGGGACTAGTACAGGTTGGCTAGCAGAAAACTGATTTCTGACTATCTGCAGTGTGATCTTACATCAAACATTTTCTCCTTACTGCTCCCTCCCTTCTACACTTCTCCAGTTCCCAAGTTACCAGCCCTTCCCGGAATGGACAGCCTTTCATTATGCCCTGTGTGAACACAGATGGTACACAGAGCTGGTTACTGAAATACTGTCAAAGGATGCTTTGAAAAGCAGCACTGGAGAGGACAGGAGAACACACACATATATTTATAGTGTGAACTTCTACAGCAACAAGTTGTAAGACAGCACAAAGTCTCTTTAGTGTTACAGTATAGGCAGCATAATTACTTGAGTTTTCCATATTAATGGAGATAAATCTGACAAAAAGGTTGAAGACATTAATTGAGACGGTCACACTGACCACAGGAAAGATAGTGCCTTCAGAGGCACTAGAAAATATCTTCTCTTTGCAAAAAAATTACCTCCACAATCTCATCCTTCAAGACAGAAAGCTCGCTGTTGTTTCTTGCCATAAACTCATACTTGCATTTGGCATATTTCTTGGGCTGTGCTTTATTGTGTGCTTCGTAGTTTCTGTAAAACAAAACCCAGCATTTTTCAGTGAGGCATTCAAGCCAATAAAAAGAAAACACTCTATTTAACAATCTGCAAAGCACTTAAACAAAAAACAAACAAACAAACAAAATTCACCCTAAGATCACACTGCTATAACCCTGACATTCAAAATACACTGATTAAGTTTCAAAGAAAAAAATAAATATATATACATATAAAAAAGCATTTGAGTTACCTGTAACTCAAACTGGGGGATTTCTATTGACTCATAGCTTGCAATATGTATGATAACTTGGATTAGCAGATGCCATTGCATAAATACATATACTAGGATTTAGTGCGTTTTCCTACATGAGACTACTTTAGGTTGCCTTAAAAGCAAATGGATACACTGAGATTGCCTTTTGTACAAAGCATCTTGTACAATCCTTTGCCTTCTATTAAATTATATTTCTAGCTTAATCATAAAATAAATTTCAGATCACATATAAATTAATAATTTTTGGTATTGATTCTAATGGGATTAAACTGCTAATTGAAAAACAAAAAAAGCCTAGGAGAAAAAATTTCTCCTAGTTGACTATAAGATACTATAAATACTAACAAACCTGAGTTGTTATACTAGCTAAAAATGAAAAATGACTTCTAGATATTTATTAACAGGGTTCACTGTAGAAGGAAGTATACCACAGTACACCTTAGTAGCTCTCTGTTTCTTTGAGGAAAGATCTGTTCAGATTTGTTCAAACCCACGTGGGCGAAAAGCTATTATTTTCTTTGATGTATTATTACTTTCAGGTCAGAAATGTCTCTCCCTCCTCAAAAACCATCTAAAAGAAAGAGGACCATTATTCGCCTATTTCAAGTGACAACCCAAATCTGTACACATAGTAAAGTTGAAAAAAAAATGAAAAGATTACAACAAGCAATGGCATGAAAAGCTGCATACAATATCACAGTGCAGGGATATAAATGCATCTGACCGCTGATGTTCACAGGGTGACCGCGGCTCCCCGGCACACCTGGGTTTTCCAGTGCTTACCTAGCTATTGCGTGGCTGTGGAGAACTGTCTCACTTGACTTAGAGAGCAGAACAAAGGAACAGTCGTATTCAGATTGAAAATGTGGCATTTTGAAAGAAGGACAAAACACTAAAAGCATTTAAAGGAAGACTGAAAAGTACGAGTTGAACCACTGCCTGCAGAATAGTTGTTATGAAGTTGAAAGACAGGTGAGTAATCCGAACTTTTTAGCCACCCACTCAAAATTTATCCAATTTTGAAGTGCTTTCTCACCATTTTAGGGTTATGACTAGAGTACTTCTGAAGCTACTTTTAATATTAAGCTGCCTTTCTGAACTCAGTGCTGGGAAACTTGCAGCTAAACATCCCGATCGCCCAAGAAGTCTAACTCTGGCAGAATTTACGAAGAAATGCTTACACTTTACATTTTACCCAACTCTGTTGCAATCAACAGAAACATCCCTAGAACATAGACAGGTCAGTGACCACAAATTTTGAAGGCATCATAACTCTTCAAGTCTAGCTTAATGAGCCAAACAGTATTCTTGGGGCTGAAATATTCTCAGTGCTTTCCTCCATCCATCGTGTTTCTTACAGCCCACTGGATATATTGTAATGGCAACTCTTCACTCTCCTGTGCATGTCATGTGGGAACTTTGTGGATTATAAAGCCTTTAAGGGTCCTCTTCCACAAATGACACCACAAAAAAATAAATCACACAGCATGTTATTTTGACACCTACAATTTGCTGAAGAATTACTTTCAGACTATATTGGATAGCATCAGATTCAGCCTTGATCACTGGAGCCCCATGTTGACTCTAATAACGCACTGGAAATTTAAGATCCTGATAGTTAAAGCTGTCCAAGGAAAATGTCTTACTCTAGATGCTGACACGTTTGAACATGAAGTTCTCTGTGATTAAATAAATGTCAAAAAGCTGTTGAAATGGTCAGCTTTTACTTCTTCCTCTCCTGAACCTACCCTACCACCTGCTTCTTCACAGTTGCTTTAACGATTATCTTTAAATTGAAGTTACTTATGGTAACACAGATTAACAGCTTTCCCCCATAATGAGCTCATATTGCACGTCCCAAGAGCCAGTTAGCAAATGAGAATGTTTATGTGGGACTGGACAGGCTGGGAGATAACTACGGGCTGCAGATGTTTGCATCGGCTCTAGTCATCTCGACTCTCTCCTGCAGTCGATGGTGAGAAATCCATACCTCTGGGTTCACGTCTTTCAAAAGACCATCTTCACCTTACCTGAACTGCTTCTTAGAAGCACCCATTCTCTTTACCCACTACAAAGGGAGCTTGAATGACTAATTCAGATGCTGCCAGATACACTGACACCATCTACAGCTCTCTGGGGTGAGTCCCATTCTTGAAACCTGAAATGGGGGCAAAGGCACTAAGAAGGAATACTCTTACTCCGGGAGGACAAAACAGGCCTTATCATGTTACAGATAAAAGAGAAAGGCAATGTAGTATAGATCATCCAGATTGCAAGCTGAGTGACCCTGAGAGAAGAGCCCGAGGAATAAGAAAGTTTGAGGAAAACATTACAGATGACTACCACTGCTGTTGTTAAGAATAAAAACCAAATCTCAGAAAAAGAATCAAATCTTCATCCTGAATAGCATGAGGGAACTTGTTTGCATGCAGATTAGCATAAGAATCTTTTGGCACATGTCTCAAATCTAGATGCGTAATAGTTTTCATCAAAATAGTTAAAGCAATGCTTTTGTTTGTTTTTGTTTCGTTAAGCCAACAATCTTACCCCCAAAGCTTAACTGAAGCATATTCCATGACACGAAAACTAAAGTACAGGTCATAAGGTCATTATTGATTTACTCCCACAGCTTGCCCAGAGACAAATTCTCCATACACCAAAGGCCCAGATTGCAAGGATCAGTACATCTGATCTTCTTAAGCTATTTGGATTTGGACTAACACAGAGGGGATGAAAAAGGATGTGCAAAAAGACTCTGGTTGCTATGCAAACATTTCAGAGCATTTTGTGTAACTACACACTGGGAAAAGAGAGAAGAAATGATTAGATTCTGAAAGGGGCTGCTTCTGCACCAGCCCAAAAAACAAAAGCAGAACGCCAAGGAGCAGCAAGTGAGTAGCTACACAAACCAAATAACCATTCAAAACAATGACAGATGAATCTCAGAGTGTACTTGTAATTATTTGTAGTTGCATAAAGAACAAAGCATACCTTTCAAAAAATATGAAAAAAAAGGAAAAATAAAATTTAAAATGCAAACAAGAAGATCCAGAGTTCTGATTCAGGTTGATAGATTTAAATTTCCACTACATCATTTTTAACCAAAGCATCAATTTACAGGGCACAAAGAGGGTCATACCACAGAGAACATACTGGAAGAGTCTTAAGGATGTGCCTTAAAGAGGCAAAACCAAAACACCCCCTGCAAACCAGAATCACTTCCTTACGAAAACCAGAGGCGACTACAGACACCTCCACCCCAGCAGCACTAAGTCGGGACAGTTATCCACAGCACCACGTACGACGTCGACTCCGTGTTACCTATCTACGTGCCGGCTAACAGTTTGCTTAAAGGCAGCGACAGCGGCCCCTTGGTCCGGGAGAGGCCCTCTTTTGTAAGCGGTGTTACTGAATGCATACCCGTCGGATGGAGGGTAGTCGGGAACGCCAGGAGGCTGCAAGACAAAGAAAAACACACAAAGCCACAAGGTGGATTAGTGTCACCTGCGCACCAACAGCACGGGGCTTATTGCACCTAAGGCAGGAGCCCCAAGGGCCCAGGCAGCATCTGCATGCCCCTGTTCTCAGGTGCTTGTGGATCTGCCATGAAAAGTTAATAACTTCTGCATTTCCAACACAAGCAGAGAGATCAAAAGAAGAATAAAAGAATTTCTTCCCTAAGTCATCCCACTGCATTAATATTGCAGGGGATGTTCTTTAGAAAAGAGAGTTCTCCAGGGCAAGGTTCATGTCATCTTTTAGGTATCAAGACAGCAACAGAACTTGCAAACAACAATGACTGAATGGCTTTAAAATAAACTACATTCAGAAACTGTTTTGAGCTTTTATTTTATATGCACACTTTAACACAGAAAATTCTAGCAAGCGAACATTAAGTTTTGGTAAGAAATAAAGCCTCCTCAATAAGTTGTGGCTTATTTCTGTCACCCTCCAATTGAATATAACTGAAGTCAGTGAATAAATGCAAGAAGGAAAGTGATACTCAGTGTAATTAAGGATTTTAATTAAATAAAATAATCTGTTTATTACAAGCACTTATGAGTTAAATAAGCATATTTGACCCTTTGCAAAATTCTAAATTCTTTTTAAATAGCAGCTCTTCACAAATGCCCAATCTTAAATCCAGCAATAATAGGTTGCTTGTAGTAAGTACTACTTTAAATTTCACTGACCCAAATAAATTAATCTCCACTTAATTTCTGAAGATTATTATACCGAAGTTGCTCCTTCTACAATTCTTTTTCCTTATACCATCATCTTGTTGCACAAGTTAGAACAACTGAGCTTCACTGGAAATTCTCTTATCTCTCTGATTTTTCTTGGTGTGTGGCTACATAAGAGTTACCCACTACATTTATGTATCAGGGAACTACTGCCTAGAGGCATTTATTTGCGGTGCTGAGGCTTGTGAAGTGAAAAGAACAAAGAAACCCATATATGCAGAATATTCTTTAAAAATACATTAGGAAAATCTCTTTGAGGAAAATCTCAAGTGTCAGCTAGTTTATACATTACAGCAGAAAGATACCTGGGGAGTAGAAATTTGTTTTATTTCACACAGAAATTACTTGCACTGCCTCAGCCTCACTGGATTGCAATCACTGGTTCCCCATTGCTTTGCTGCCATTTGAAGTCACCATCATGGGAGGTGACTTCACCTTGAGCCCCCTGCGGTGCAAACCACATGTACATCGTTCAGACTGGGAATGGCAAAGGAAAGAAGAATTGTAAGAACCAGATATCTGATGTATTTTGCTAGGTGCCAGATCAATCACTGGTAGTAATAAGGGCCGGGAAGTCACCACAGCAGCATCACGCATGGTGTTATCCCACCTGAGAAATGTGAATGAATAAGTAAGGCAGCCACGCTGGCATCCCTTGCTGTAGGACAGTCAGGTTGCTGCAGACAAATAGCATTTTACACTCGCATTGATCTTTCCAGCTGAGCACCTGCAGCTTTCTGCAGCTATAAAGAAGCTCAGCGTTTCTTGCCCTGGAATTGCTGCTGCGGGGAGACCTTACACAGGAGGCCAAGGTATTTTAAGAAATCAAATGCGAATCATGATAGCCTCAATTACTTAGGAAGAGTTTCACTCAGATTTTTTCATCTCTATATCCGAGTAGGATTATTTTTTTTTTAAAGCAAATGAAGATTTTCCTCAAAACAGAGTTTTATTGTGACAAGTTTTCCATGGGAAGTTTTGATAAACTTTTTGGAGGAAGCTTTATCTCCTTTGCAGAGAACTGCTCTGCAGGGGAAAGTCAGCCCATAGCAGCCAGTTATACAATATATTGCGAATTCAGGTCAGCCTGCCTATGACTGAACGCTGGTCTACTATATTTGAGACAAATACCCTAACCACAAAAATGTTCTGATTTTTCATCTTTTTAAATAATGAAAGTTTCATGAGACAGAAATGGCTTGTCCTTTCTAGCTTTTGCCATCTCTGGATCACATCCCTGTATATTGACAGGCAGTCTCCTAACACACCTATGAAATGGCAGGCATCTGCCCAGGGTTATGTGCTGCCAAAGGGCAAAGAACAGTCCCTCCTGCACAGAGGAATGCTCACTGCAGTAACTCAACACAAGAAAGCTGAACCCTGCTCAAAGCCCCAAAATGGCAATGTAAGGAATATCTTCCTGAAGCACAAATAGCAATCAAGTGACCCTTCTAAAATCCTTCCTTTGATTTTAATTTTTTTTAATGTGTTTGTGCATAGATGTTCATTCGAAGACAAGAAAGATGAAGACACACATAGCTCCATATTCTGCACACAGTATATGCAGTCAAAACCAAATGGATCTGAAAGCACAAGAGAGAAATCAAACTGAATCTTAGGAGTCTGGATTCTTCTCCCAACAGAGGTAGGAAAACCTCTTCAGGAGGGAATTTCATTTAACTAATTAACTATTTTAGCAAACAACTAATTAAAGAAACACTACAGTACTTAACCTACCTCAGCTGACAATCTTCTCATTTCTTGTTTCCTCTGCTGCTCTGCAACGTTTGCCACAGACTCAGCCAAATGATTTAGTTCTTGGTCCTTCGGAGCTCCTATGAAGTTCAGCAAAGGAGGTTCCCAACCATTTCGGAAACGAGGGACGTAGGGTGGAATAAACTGGTCTTTGGGCCAGTCCGCTCTGCATGAAAAGTAAATTAGAGATCTGTGGCAAGGGAGCATACAAGTATTTTTAAGAGTTTTCCTTAGAATTGAAATGCTTTATAATTTTTAGGAATAGAGAGAAGACTGGAATCACAGCACAAAAATAATTATGCTAAAATGCAGAAAATTGGCAGAAAGAATTATTCATTGACCACAGCTACGCTCTTTGCTGTGCTTAGCAGAAAAACTGGTCCTGCCCTAAGAACTAGCTAGAGTTAAGACACAACAAAATTCCGTCTCATAGTAAAGGATGACTAATAGAAGGATCAATTACAAACAAATCTGGTGTTTATTTTCATTGTTAGATGGGAAGAAGTACTGCAATTCTGTCTTTATGTTAAAGCATAGACAAAAGACTTCAAAGAAACACTCTGCTTTAAAATACTTGAAAGTAGGCACAGAGCCTTGATTGCTAAGAGAGAGCTAGAAATACCTACCTACATAAAATAATAATTAAAAAAAAATAGAGGATAAATTTCTTTTTCCTTTACACTCTACAAAACAAGAATTATCAGCACATTTGCTGTTTTGCAGCCTACTTTTTTAATCTGTATGACTTCTTAGAGCTCCTTTAGCATTCTCTTATTTTTCTACACAATAGCTAAATTAATGCTTTGATGCTCTGCCTTTGCAATATACATAACATCCTGCCCTGCAGCATAAATTACTGTCTCTTTACAGTAGTAGCAGAAGGGAGAATATGCATTACAGTCTTTTAATGTTCTTATTATTGGCACTGTTGAAAATGGATCAAGTAACAAGTGCTGTCCATTAAACCAGTTACAGAAGGGGTCAACATTTACTAGCCCATTAGCAAGTACTAGATCCCTTGAGCATTACTGCTCACTTTTTGCTAAATTGCACCGCAGTATACCGCAAGCCAAACAGACCATTTTCAATGCCTATAGCTCAACCACTTACATGCCAAGTACTTTTTTCCTTCCTACTCTAACAGGAGATACTTCTTTTGGGACTAAGCTGTTTTCTTTTCAGAAGGTACTACGGGAACGATGATGGTAGTTCCCAAGACAAGAAGTCTGTTATTTCATTCAGTGATCCTATACCCTGCATGGGTTCCAGGGCTGCAAGTGAATCTCCATAGTCAGCCCCACTGCAAGCTGCAGCGAAGCCAGAAGAGCTCTGGGCAGGTGAGGGTAAGCAGATGATGGCAATCACGAGGAGCTGCAAGAGATGATTCCAGCTCATTTTGCAATTTTAAGATAAACGGCCCAATGAAGGAGAATCTTGGAAATTTTGTGCAGCAGAGTGAGATTGAGGAGGAGGAGGACTTGTACCTTGCTCTTCCTACCCCCAGGATTTTCATCCTTTCACATTCTAGGGTTTTGTTGTTGTTGTTCAGACTCTCAGACTCTTCTACCAACGAAGTACTCAACTACTATTTTTTTTTTCCTCTAGAAATCCAACCGAAAGATGTTTATTTCCTGATCTGGACTCTAAGAATAAGGATGAGTATACTCAAATACATGACTCATTTCAACCCAAGTCATTGCATGCTTAACCATTACCCCATGCCCTACTCCACCACAGATGTCAGAGTTAAGGCACACTGCTAATTAAAAACGTTCTACTTACCTAAGTAATTTCAGACTATACAGCCAACTCAAAACCATTCTGTACAAAGTAGTTAGTTTTTAGCTAAGCCACCAAACCATAATAGTGAATTCCACTAGATGTAACGTGCAGGGTAAGTATGTTTAACATGATTCAGCCAACAACCACTGCTCAGAAGTTATAAACATTTTACTTATAGCTTATTATTATGCTTTTGAAGGGTAAAGAGATTGCAAATTTTAAGTTTTTAATAAGCATTAACAGTTGAAAAATAAAATCAGTTTGTATTTTATTTTTAAGCGCTGTTGAATGCACTTTCTTAAAAATATATTTTTTAATCAAGTCCAAATAGCTGATTGCCAAAACAGAAAAGAACATGAAAAGGGCAGTTCCATGGACAGAAAGGAGATTACTGTCTGAAATTTCCTCCTCCATGCAACCCCTAAAACCAAACCTCTCCAAAATCCCAATGAAGCAAAGGGCTCCTTTCCAAAAACTTCAAGGAATAATTTCAAGGAGTCTACCAAACTAATATGAAGTTTGCTGATAGTAGACAATCGGTTAAGACCACACTAATAAACTTGAGTTGAGATCATCTCTAAAACATGCAAAGGCTTTTCCTTACCTCGCTTTAGTCCACGTGTCACCCAGTGACATCCACAACTGCCCTTCTTCGCTGGTGACGGTAAATCTCAGGAAGTCTATAGTATCCTTCGTTAGGAGGGGGCTGAGTACTGTACTAGCAAGTTCTGGGCCTCCTGTTGTCTGCACCACCTAAGTCCCAGTATTAAAATAAAAGAACATCCATATCGGTCATAAAGTTCATCTGAACACAGAGTGGCTATAGTGTTACTAGGAAACATTCATTACCAAAATGGGGGGTAAAGGTAACTTCTGGGAAGCTAACAGTGTGTCCTAATGTAGAGGATGAACTAAAAACCACTTCCTGCAGAAGAACTGCTGTTCTAGTCAGCTACCATCTTACGTTTAGACTGACTTTTGACAGTGCTATTTAATTTTCTCTACTCATCATAAAACACTTCAATTAATTAAACAAATGGCTATGCTTCCAATACTCCTTCTGCATTATATAAATTATTATCTCTATTTTTATTGCTAGTTAGAAATAATCATGACAAACCTTAACACACACAAAGCTAAGGATGATTTAAATAAACAGATTTAAAAGACGTAAAGAAAGACATGCAGAAAAGGATCTGTTTTTTTTTTCTAAAAAGTATATCATCCTCTGATACACACATTTGTCCTTAGTTATTGTCCAGGGACATAGCATTTCAATCTTGCTATCCTTGAGAAGGTTATAGAGCATATAGATACAAAAGTTCTGAAGGAAAATATTGGAAAGAGTTATCACACCTTACCATATGTAGTGGTGTAAAGAGAAAATGAACCAATTCAGGTGCACTAGGATTCTGGATATGCAACTTCAATTTGGCCTGAGGGAAAAGGAAAACATATTGGAAGTTTTTGTAACAAATGCTTAACACAAGAGTGACCATGCCAGGTCACATCATAACTTTTCCTAAGACTAATGGTTTGTCTTCAACATTAGCTAAGACTCCGCAAGATCACAGAGCAAGCACATGGTGATCTTCCCCCAACTACTGCAATGCTCTAGTAGTCTGTAGCTCAGGGGCTACTTGAATGAGAAGCAGTATTTTGTATTAGTAGCATTAGTGGATTCTTCTGCTGAGAAAGAAAACTGAGCAATCATACCCTACAAACTTTTACCAGTGTTACTCATAATTATTTACAGTGTTATTATATTCTCCCTTTTTGTAGACTTTTCCAAGTTAAAGAAAAGTCTTTTCCTTGGAGCAATACCTTCAGTTTCGCTATATTCTCATATGAAGAAAACTGGGAAAAAGGGGGGAAATTTTCTCCTAAATGGAGAAAAATGAAACCAGCATACATAATGGCACAGTAATGTTCTTTATTTGTTCATTTTCTTTTTTCTTTTCCTAATGCTTCTTAATGTTTGTCTGGGTTGTAACTATGGAGAACAATGTTCTGTATTACAACACCAACATTTTATTCCTGTCTAGCAGAAGTCAGCTTGAAGTCTGTTTTAAATGTAACATTAGATCCACTTTTCCACCTGTACACTACATTACATCCATCAATACTGAATTTCCGCTGTCATCTTATTGATTGTTATCATGGACAATTTCGACATTTCTCAGATTTCCAGAGTTGTGTGGAAATTCTATCCTGTGAGATTTTTTTTCTTTTAATAGACCAATTATCTAGGTACAGACTTCAGGGGTACTGGTCCGTAGTCCCTTAGGTCTCCCTAAAAACGTTTAAAGATTATTAGCATTTCCTTAACTATTTCCCTTCCTTTGGGATCAAGGCAGTTTTGTGAGGTCACACACCCCAGCGCATACTTCAGTGATATCATCCATAAGTTTCTGGAAGAAATGGATGAAGTTCCCAGGGGTTCTGTTGATCTGTTTCTTGTCATTTTGATTAGCTGTTCTTTAATCACCCATTACTTTAAACAGGTATTCTTTGATGACACTGTTTTCACAGGGAACACACTGCCCACTGCCAAGCTCTTCCAATAAAATAAACACACACAAAAAAATCATATTCCTTCTCTACTACAGCTTCTCTGAGGTTTGCCTTTAGTCGGCAATCACCCACTAGCCCAACAGACTCCAGAAGCAGGAAGCACACCTGAATATGTTTTACATGTGTGTTCATTGCATTTTGCAGACTGTTCCCCACACTCCTTTCAAACTTAGTCAATCAGTGCATTTAGCTTTCCAGACTGTCTTCAACTGAAGAAATAGGAAGGATGTGTTATTACTTCTAATAGCAACCTGTACATTGTACTTCAGTCATACCAACTTTTTGGTCTTTCTGAAGTTTTATTATTGGATAGATAGCAGATATTTTCCATGAGTCTCAAGTATGGTGTTTTTAAATAGTTTACATTCAAGTGGAAGGGATCTTATTCTTTTAGTTCCCTCTTATCTTTAAAATAGATAAATTACATTCTTCATTTTATTCAACTCTGCTTAAATAAATATTTTATATATATAAAAATATACATATATACATATAAATATTATGTGTGTGTGTATATATATAATAAAACTAAGCACCATGAAGTAAAATTTCAGGATTTTATGTCTCTTGCAGCGATGCTGAAGCAAAGAACTTATAGTCCAACTTGTCAAAAACTTTAGAAAACAGGTCCCAAATACTGCTCAGCACCAACACAAAAATTTTTTTCTTTAAGGCCTACAAAACATATGATAACAGCATATTTAAAGTCAAGGGGTGAGAGGGTAAACAGATGAAAAAAAAAAGAAGAAAAAGAAGAAAAAAAACACACACCTCAGCTCGATATTTGATGGATAAATGTCAACTCTCCTATTACTGTTTGCCCTTTGTATTGAGATTTATTTGATCTCTGTAAACTTTTAGTACAATATACTTACTTGCACATTGCACAGGAGATAAAGACTCATAGGTACACAGGTTAGTCTCAGATGAAAAACTGAATTAAAGGCAGAATTCAGGAAGAAGTCACATTGAAGACATTTTAAGATTGGAAGTACTATTACTGAGATAAAGGATTTTGTTGCTGCCTGTTGTTGCTCTAGCTCGCACGGCAACTGGAATGACCAGTCTGTATGTGGCAGAAAATGCACTGAAGATGTCTACCTGCCTGTAGACGCAGCAGCACAGATAGAGCCCTCTGAGGCCAGAAAGCAACTGATTTAACAGCAATAAGCACCCAAGACCTAATGGGAGCAGCTGTATGTGACTAATTTAAGGCCCCAGCTGGTGAGGCTGCCAAACATGCAAGACAGCTTGCATGCCCCTGGTCCCAACAGGCTTCCAAGAAATCCTTTTTTAGATTTTCATCATAGAATCATCACAGAATCATAAAATCATCACAGAATGGTTAAGGTTGGAAAGGACCTCTAGAGATCATCTAGTCCAACCCCCTTGCACATGGAGGGTCACCTAGAGCACGTGGCACAGGACTGCATCCAAACACGTTTTGAAGATGTCCAGAGAAGGAGATTCCACAACCTCTCTTGGCAGCCTGTTCCAGTGCTCTGTCACCCTCACTTTTAAAAAAATTTCCTTAAGTTCCTGTGGAACTTTTGGTGTTTCAGTTTGTGGCCACCACCTCTAGTTCTATCAGTGGCCACCACTGAAAAGAGGCTGGCCCCATCCTCCTCACTCCCTCCCCTTTAAACTCAGATTTTGCAAGTAAAAGGATTTTATTGAACAAGGATGCTGAAAGAGAGAGAACTATGCTCCCCCAGTCACTGGCACTGGGCAGAGCCTTTGAGGAGCAGCCCCACCTGGAGACTACCTGAGGCCAGAGATCACCAGATCTTTGTTCAACTCCAAATAGAGAGGGAAAAAGGGAAAAGCCAAGACTGGTGTCATCTCAGCTGCCTTCCTATGCATTGGCCAAGCACCAAGTGAGATTATATGCCTAAATCTATGCACATTATTAAGAGGATATTTGCATATCTACTTCTTTTTAGAAGAGCAGCAGAGACCAAGACAATGCTTGCTCTGACCCCCAGTTCCTCAAAGGATGTGAACACCTCTGTGTTGGTATCCATGGGCCCACCAGTTTACTCTACACGGACAAGGCACCAAGAACGTCGGTTCGTTTGGTGCACCAAGGCATCAAAACACATAATTTGATAACTGTATTCCCAAAGACCAAATGAACTTCTGAAGTTCTCTCAGAGGAGTCAAAGATAACCTCATTACCTGGAGTATCAGGAATCCTCAAAGAAACCCGACTTAAAAATAACTACAAAGCAATGCAGTTGCGTTGTTTTCTTCTCCTTCCTCCTCTCTATCACTTAAGTAATAAATAAAGAGAAAGAAGAAGAGAACTATAGATCATTATAGATCCTTCCATACAAGTGGGATAGAGAGAGCTCTTAACACATAGAAAAAGTAAGGCAACAAATCCGACACACGAATTAATTTGTAGCAGCAGGGAATATCCTCTTACACATAACATCATCTATCCCAGGAAAATTTATTGTAGCACGCCTCAAAACCATATAGGCTAGCAGTTACTTACCACAAGATTGAAGCCATGCTTGAATTTTTGGAAGCAGTCAACAAACTCATCTGTAGGTGGTGGCTTTGCACGGAGAGTAAGAACTCCCTCTGGTGAAAAAAATGAGAAAAACTATACATATATATGTAAAATTTAACTTCTATAAATATTGAAGATATATTAACCACAAGTATTATAAAATAAAATAAAAAACTTAAGTATTTTGTATTTCCATTAATTGCTGTAGCTGCTTAATAACACAGAATCACAGAATGGTTAAGGTTGGAAGGGACCTCTAGAGATCATCTAGTCCACAAACCCCTGCATAAGCAGGGACACCTAGAGCACGTGGCACAGAGTCGCATCCAGGTGGGTTTTGAAGATCTCCAGTGAAGGAGACTCCACAGCCTCTCTGGGCAGCCTGTTCCAGTGCTCTGTCACCCTCACAGTAAAGAAGTTCTTCCTCACATGGAGATTAAACTCCCTATGTTTCAACTTGCACCCATTACCCCTTGTCCTGTCATCAACCACCACAGAGAAGAGCCTGGCCCCATCATCTCTACATTTACCCCTTCGGTACTTGAATATGTTGATCAAATCTCCTCTCGGTCTTCTCCAGACTAAACAGGCTCAGCTCGCTTAGTCTTTCCTCATATGATAGATGCTCCAGTTCTTTAATCATCTTTGTCGCTCTACGCTGCACCTGCTGTAGAAGCTCAATGTCCTTCTTGCACTGGGGAGTCCAGAACTGCACCCAATACTCCAGGTGCAGCCTCACCAGAGCTGAGCAGAGGGGGAGGATCACCTCCCTCGGCCTGCTGGCAACACTCCTCCTGATGCAGGCCAGGATCCCATTGGCCTTCTTGGCCATGAAGGCATATTGCTGCCTCATGGTTAACTTCTTGTCAACCAGGACTTCCAAACCCCTCTCCACGGAACTGTTTTCCAGCAGGTCAACCCCTAATCTCATGTCTGGGGTTATTCTGAGACCTGGCTCTTCTTTCACCTTATGTACAGCTCCCTGCCCATCCACGCAGGTCTCTTGCCTCCTTGCTTGACTTCTTTCCTATAGGAATGCACCGAACCTGAGCTTGGAGAAAGTGGTGTTTGAATAGTAGCCAATTCTCCTGGACCCCCTTTCCTTCTAGGACCTTTGCCCAGGAGATTCCTCCAAGGAGTTCCCTGAAGAGGTCGAAGTTAGCTCTCTCGAAGTCCAGGGTTGCAATCCTACTTCCTGTCCAGCTTCCTCCTCGCAGGATCATGAATTCCAACATCTTGTAGTCACTGAAGCCACGACTGCCCCCAAACATCACATTTCCCACTAGACCATCTGTTTATTAGTATGAGGTCATCTCTTCCCTTTTCTTCCCCTTCCCTTGTTGGTTCATCAAACACCTGCATCAGGAAGTTATCTGCAATGTTCTGCAGAAACCTCCTGGACTGCCTGTTCCTAGCCGTGTGATTATCCCCATAGACATCAGGGTGATTGAAGTCCTCCATAAGGACCAGGGCCTGGGATTGTGAGGCTTCTTGCAGCTGCCTGTAGAAGGCCTCATCCACTTCCTCTTTCTGGTCAGGAGGCCTGTTGTAAACTCCCACAACTGTGTTGCCCTTGTTGGCCTGCCCTTTAGTCTTCACCCACAGGCTCTCAACTCATGCGTCATCCTCCCCTATGCTGAGCTCCAAACATTCCAGTTGCTCTCTCATGTAAAGAGCAACTCTGCCACCTCGTCTTCCTGGCCTGTCCTTCCTGAAAAGTCTAAAGCCATCCATGGCCATGTTTCAGTCATGAGAGCTGTCCCACCATGTCTCAGGAATTGCAGTGAGATCATGGCCCTGCAATCGCACATGCATCTCCAGTTCCCCTTATTAATTCCTCATCTTGCATACATTTACATAAAGCCATTTGAGTTGGTCACCCAATGTGCCTCTCACTCTAGCTGGGGCAGCTGGAACTTGACTATGTGGGCCTTCAGAAGGTCTCTTATTTTCCCCTTTAGCCTCTTCAGGCTTAGGGCTATGGAGTTAGGCTGCTGTGAGTGGCATGATGGGCCATTGCCTACCCCATAACCTGCTTCCCTGATGATACCTCCCTCCCACCTCGAATCTAGTATAAAGCCCTCTCAATGAGCCCTGCTAGCTCTGCTAATTAACCCTGCTAATATATTTACTGACATGCAAAATTTTGTAAATACAGTCATTACAGTGAGCAATATTCTTCAGTCATATCTCACATCAGTCTCTCCCCCACTGATTTCAGGCAAACACTTTTCATTTAGTCCTCTCTAAGAATATACTTTCTAGGATGTGCTTTCCCTTCAAAGTGAAACAAAATCAATACCACACACATCAAAAAAAAAAGTCATATTTACTCACTACTTCAAAGTTTCCTAAAGAAAAAAGAAAATCTACTGCACAATCTACTGCAGTAGGAACTCCTACCTCCAGGTCCTTTCTTTTTACTTTTCTTGGTTTTCTTCCTCTTCGAAAGTTCTGTAAATGCCTCAGCAGCTTTTTGAAGTTTGGTAACAAAATACTCAATGTCATCCAAAATATGGTTCAGAATTTGCTATGAGAGAAAAGTAGCAATTTCTTTACTGAAAGTGTAGTAGAAACACTCTAGGAATGAAAACAACTCTCAGATACCAGCAACTTCTGTACAAAGTTAGGGCTAGAATATTGTGTATATAGATTCATTATGTTTATAACTTCACACATGCGTAACATTTTAAAGCTTAGATTTTTCAAAACTCAGGACCAGTGTAGGTTTTGAAAGCACTGGTATTACTAAATTCAGATTTCCATTACATACATTCACACACTACATCCATTCTCTACAGATTACATTAATTCTACACACAATATCCACAACATTCATTCTCTCAAAGCACATATGCACACAAATCCTTTCTAGTAAATTATGTGCATAGGACAGCATTTTCCTAAATGGCACAACTTGATGATCTCTTTTGGAACAAAGTATTAAACCATTTGTGGAAATTCAGAATGTGGTTTGCGGGAGAAGTGTTCTTTGAAGAATGGTTTTCAAAGAGCAAGTGGAGAAGAAAAGAAGCACCCTCGGGGTGCAACACTTCAGCAGGTTCCACCACGCTTCCCTCAAGACCCTTTGATGTTGCTGATGGCAACACCAGAGTAGAAAGCTGGGTTCCAAGTGATCATCATGGCAGTATTTGATAGTGCATACATCATGGAACCAACTCAATATTGTTGCTCACAGGTCATGGAGGGTCATGTTATACATATGCATGGCTACATATCCATGGTCTTTGGAAATGACCATGTGTTTATGCTCCAGAAATGGCACTTATCAGAGTCTAATTAACTTAATAAAATTTCAGTTTATACATGCTTGAAGAATTTGGCCTTCACAAAATTACATGGAAGTACAGCTCTTCACAACAGAAAACTTGACTAATAGCAATACTTTGTACTTACCTTAAAAAAGTAAGAAAAACACACCACACACTTCCTATTCATTTTCAGGTTTACCACACAAAACAGTCTGCCTGGAAAGCTTTGCCCCAGAACTGAATTTCACATGTGGAAAAAGTCTTCCCATTAGGTAAAAAGCCAATGTTTTATGAGCGTTAAGCAATATCTCTTGTAGTCGCTCACTTACAACATCTCTGTCAATCCTAGCTGCCATCATTTCTGTTGTTTCTTCATGGTCCTGGTACTGTCTTTGCTTTTCAACTGTGGAAAAAGTGAAGGGAAAAAGACATTCATATAGAAAAAACTAGAAATCATGACACTCTACACCACTTATACTTGAAAGTATACTACCATGCCACAGACGAAACTGTTGGCACCACTGCCATTGCAAAGGCTTTAGAGAACCTGAAGAACTTGCACAGTAATGCCTCCCAAGCCTCATGAACCTGTTTAGGTATATGCATAAGCTAACTTAGCTGCATAAAGGAAGTTAACCACATGCATAATTGTGGTATCAGGATCTCTATCAAAAGAGTACAGCAGAAAGTGGCTGATTCTAAACCCAAAGTAAGGAAAAGTTATCTCATTTTACAAAACACGTTAAAAGCAAGTCAAGCTGAAGCAGCCAAGACAGAAGTGCATAGCTCAGACTTCAGAGGATATTCAAGGGGGACAGTTTATAAATGAAGGTTAATAAGCAAAAAGAGATGTAGGAATTTGGGCTGATTTACCAATGCTGGCACACTGTTAACAGGAGTGCTTTTTATAAATGCATTCTAGAAGATATCCACATGAATGAAATAAGAACTACGGCAGGAATTCAGGTCATCAAGAGACCACAGGTTATTTATTTATTTATTAAGTGAGCAGAAATCAAGCAAAAGAAGAAAGAGGTCTTTACTCAAAGCAGGTATAAAGTTGTAGGTTAGTAGATGAAAACTTTCTGAATATTACTGATTTCTGTGAATACTTTTTTTTTCTCTGCATAGTTGTGTACTTTGAGCCATATTATGGCAAAATAAACCAAAACCAACAAAAACTTCCTGATTAGTAACATCTAATTCTAAACATCTAATTATAAAACTTCATCTTCTGTTATACAGAAAAAGAGAAAAAAAGACTTCACCTGAACCAAGGTTACTCCTTATATAGTCTGTTATACTGAAAGGAGTTTATTGTTTCTAAAGAATATTATTTAAAGAAAAAAAAAAGTTTCCATTACAGATTTAAAAAGAAGAAAAAAAGATCAAAAATAGTACTACATTTCTTGGTTGAGGCTTTAAAAGCAATGAGCTAGTTTAGTCACACAGCCCACTAAGAAGATAAATAAAAATAAATAAACGCTGCTTATCTCTAGTCAGCTTTTAATTCAAGTGATGTTCATGCAAAGGCCCCAGAGGAAAACCATAGCCCACCTACCATCCACCTAAGAACAACTAAATGAAGCTCTGAAAAGAAATTCAGAAAACCGATACCGCGAGTAAATGACAAAACAGATTTTGACAGTGAGGTCTTTCTTACAGAGCCATCTCTCTGAGGCAATAGGAATCTGGGGCATTTAAGACTAGACTGGGAGAATAATCCTGCCTCCTCTCAACAAAAACAGAGGGGGCACCAGAGTAAAAACGTTTCTGTATGTGGCTGTCATCTTTTCAAAAATATTTTTGAAAAATATTTTTTTCCAAACCATTTTTACCATCATCTGTCCTCACAGAAACCTACTGCCCAGAATGACTGTTGCTCAGCACACGGCAGGAGAACCAGCTCTCAGAAATACTCACGCTCGCCCTGCTCGGAGGCCCACGCTGACCATGCCGCCACGCGGCTTCGCACGTCCACCTGGGTGACGGTCCCCGGTGGGACTGGGGCTGGTGCCCTTGGGGGCGGAGGGATAGCGCTGTCAGCTTTGGAGATCATCCTAAGGGGAGAGAAAAGGCCAGAAGTGACACTCGGGGGATAAAAGAAAAAAAACAACCACTCTATTTTCTAGCGTTTAATCAGAGAAGACAAGAGGGCTTTGCAAGGACCTTTTCTATAACCCATGTTATTGAGCATCCTATGGACTTTCACAGCCAGCAACAGCAGAGTCTATGCTATGTAAATATACTTGACCCACATCAAGGAGGGAATGGCAAAATACATATCACCAAACCAAAGCCTCAATCACATGGCCAACTGGATATTTTCTAGCGTTTAATCAGAGAAGACAAGAGGGCTTTGCAAGGACCTTTTCTATAACCCATGTTATTGAGCATCCTATGGACTTTCACAGCCAGCAACAGCAGAGTCTATGCTATGTAAATATACTTGACCCACATCAAGGAGGGAATGGCAAAATACATATCACCAAACCAAAGCCTCAATCACATGGCCAACTGGAAACCCCTAAGTAGTGCAGCACAACGTCTAGAGAATGGGCAGACAGCTAAATTCAGCGACTCAGATTTGGTAGGTGTCATTTCTATCACCACATGCAGTATAATGGCTCGATCCCCTTGCTGTCTTCATTAGAAGTTAATCATTCTGTGATGGCTGAATGTTATCTATTTCCTAAGTCTGACAAGTTGTCAACCAACTTTTTCTTAGAACTCAGCCAACCCAAATGACTTAGTTTACAGGCTGATTTTTCCTTTAAAAAAGTCTGTTCATCCCATTTTGATGCAAATGCATGACTCTTCCCACCTGCTCTTTTTCAGTTTTTTTTTTTTTTTTTTGCCTTGTCTAGTTTTATGCACCATAATCAGCTTGATATCAACAGAGGCGGGGAAAAAAAAATCAGCTCCCACCTCCACACATCCACCAACCCCCTTCCTCATGTCCCAATTTAACAGCAAGGCCTTCACCTTAAATTCCTCCCTTTATAACCCCATCTCATTCATGGCATTCATGAACAGCAACAAATGCACTAGATACTGTTTTGTCCTTAGACATCGAACTAGAAAATAGCTCCTGCAGTTCCTTCCTCCACTCTCCTGGGTAGTCTTCCCCACATTTCCCACGCTTCCCACATTTCCACATTCCACAATCCAATAACCTTGCAACAATAACTTGGTAATGCAATGTTAGGCTCACTGCCACATCTCCAAACCAGTCATGCAGGACTCATCCAGAAGGGAATCTCCCCCTGTGACCTGATGCCTGCACGTACACAATACTACAGTGAGTAACCAGCGCTACAAGGTCATGTACTATTGAGTGCTTGGCCTCAGAGCCCTTTGGGATGAGTAGCTCAGATTAGTTTTCCCCAGATGTACCAGCCTACATTCTTCCCCTAATTAAATCTCCTTAATTTCCTTGCATATCCAATGTGTTTGAGTTCTTCTGGATTACAGCATACCTATTTTAAACCCATAGGTAAATAATAGGTAAACTTTAGCATGCTTGTGTTTTTTTATAGGAGTGTTTATCAGTATAAGAAAGTTTAATGAGCTGCATAGTGGAATTTTCTGTGTAAAACAGTTAACTAGAAACGTTTTTAAAACAACAATGTTTTTACTTAGTGATTTTTGTGCAGCAGAGGATTTTCCACATAGACCACAAAAACACACATTATGGAGAGAGACTTGAGACAGTTACCTACCAACTTTTCAATAAACTTCCATTAACATTCATTGCCTAAAATATTTGTGCCCTTGTTTCTATGTCTCTTGTTTCTTGAAATTTTTACTTTTTTATATTTTATAATTTGAATTACAAACTATTTGCCTATATGCAGAATCAAGACATACAACACTCTTCTCTGGCAACTGGTTGCCAGCTGTTCCAGTCACCAAGGAGAAATTAGAAAAGAATGGAAATTATAAACTCAAAAAGAATAAGATAATGTAGTCAAGGGTCATCTACTGGCTTCTGGAAATACGTTACTAATTAGCAAAAAAGAGCAAAAGGATAGCAGATAGACTTGGAAAGCTTCTGACCATTCTAACAATATTCAGTGATCTTTTGTACTGCAAGCAGGTAAGTTTTTTACCTCAGTGTTTCAAGCCTTTTCTTCTGTTTTCCACTTTTGCTGTCACTGATTGCACTTTCAATATCTTCATGAATAAAGCTAGCCTGAGGAGACAGATGCAGACACTATCAGCTATCAGGTTGACTAACCAGATAAAAGAAATAAATATCTTTTCAGGCATCTTTTTTTTTTTTTTTAACATATCCTTAGATTCTAGAATCTCTTACTAATCCCACATACCTAAACCTCCAGGATACATTAATTTACACTAAACAGAACACAGAAACACACAATGCTATTGTCTGGGAGCTGGTAGCTTTGTCACTATTCTAATCTAAAATGCCATCCTAGAATGAGTTTTCCATTTAAACAACAAATTTGCCCACAGAGTTGTAATTATCTCAAGTCAAAAATCATCGCAAAAAACTGTTGTCTCCATCCACATACACCATTTTTATTAAGAATGGCTGTTAAAGCCATAACTGAAACTACTATAGACAGCAGAACTAGTAGGGATAATGAAGATAAAAGATACATCCTTTTACTGAGAGTTAAGAAATAAAAATGCACCCTACTTTCTCTTTTATTTTGTGGAAGATTAATTTTTCAGAGAGATTCTTAATCTGTAGGTTCCTACCTCTCAGTAATTGCAGTGCATCTTCACCAGTGACCCACAAGTAAAATTCCAATCCATCTCTAACTCAGTACTTTAATAGAAGTTGCATTAAATAGGTCACAGCTTCTCATGGGACTGAGAATGCTCTGTTACATGTTCAGCTGTCAGAGTAATTTCCTGCACATGCTGTCAAAGCCCAAATCTGTCAGTGTCCAGGCTCATTCTACAAGGCCCACCTCCCTATCCAGGTTTCCTCATGGTGGAGGAGGAATATTTAACTTCCTTGGAGGAATATACAATTTCTGCTGGGATCAGAAGACTTACTTTATTTTTGGATCCAAAGGGATTAAGGAACTTCTCGGGCAATAATGTATTATACCCCAGAAAATGAACCAGGAATATATTAGGTTTATAGAATTAATGAATAGATAAATCTTCAGAGTATTTGAACTCTTAATATTTATTAACAAGTTTTAATTAGAAAATATTTGTTTGCAAAAATTGAATTGATTTTGACTAAGCTTTTGTAGCAAAGGCTCCTGAGGTTCAATATAATTTCTGATCAAAAGCTGAAAGAACTTTTGGAAGAAAGACATCTAAGTCCAATGAGCAGGTAACAAAACCCAGGGTATGGTCACAGGCTCAAACAATTTCCCAGAAGAAAAGTGGGATCCTGGACTTGGAGATAGAGATTTATGCTTATGTGTTCAATATTCTTATTTGTATGAAGAGGAATAGCTTCAAAAGAGGAAAGCCTGAAGAAGGGAGATCACGCTGGGAGATCGCTTCCAATCCAGTTCCCCCGCATTATTTAATGTATTGCAACTTGCACTCTCCAAGAATCCAATTTCCACTGCAATGGCAAATTCAATGCTACTAGTCTCACAGTTAACCAGTAATCTTCACGCTACTACCTATCGCTGAGCCAGTTTCAAAACAGTTGCATATCACTGATGATTTGTTAAGATAACAAATTACAAAAAAGGAATTTTTCAAAAGTCCCGTAAATTATTTAACAGAATTTCAAGAACTGCCCCTATCCCAGAAAGGCAGAAGCATTGCAAAAACATTCAAAAATTGTGTTTGAAACTTGAGGAAAACATTTTACTGGAGACAAATAATCCCTTTCCTTGTCTTGTCCTTTACAAATAATATTTTCCTTTCAGTATTCTCTCCTGCAGATCAGGTGGGCCAGCAGAGGAGGTTTAATTGCTCAGTCACAAAGAACAGATACAGGAAGGATTAGGTAAGAACTCAAGACTCGGGTGAATGTTTTCCAGAATCTAAAATAAATTTCAGATAATTCAAACTATTTTACAACAGTTTCTTTAGAAGTGTGAGTGCATACCATATAAATAATTCCAAGCTTTACGCATTTGAAAATCTAAATGAAATGCTGAAGATTTTCCCCTCTCCCCCGTAAAAAGATCAATATTTACAGTAATAACATATTTGCACACACAAAGAATTCAGCTTAGTTAGATGCCTCCTATCTTACAAGCCATAACACCACATTTACTAATGTATTATCATAAATACATTAAACAAATCATATTTATCAGCACAAAAAAAATAGAATTATCTTCTGTGAATCATTTATTTGATTTTATCCATTGCACTTGACAATTCATAAAATTTCCCCAATTCAAATAAGTCATAGCAGCTCTTCATTACTATCTTACCTTAATCTCATCACACTGGAAAAGATGCAAATCGGGCTTGTTTTGGGTTGGCTCTTTACATACCAATGCAAGAATGGAATTGTAATTGCATGCATTCATCACAGCCTGGCAATGCTGAATTGTGCTTAAAGGAAAATTCTCCAGTTCATTCTGCAGGGAGAGAGAGAGGTTGAGGTAGGGGAGCTTATTATTGGCGTAATAGTATCTGGATCTCAGAGAAACTGCATGAGATAAGAAGAGGAAAGTGTTAATAAGCTAATTAAAATACCAAATTTCACATACATCATTTTTCTGTTCCTCTTTTTTCTCTCTTTCTCTCTGCAAGTGAGACTGTCACTCACAGATCTTACCTTTGATTCCAAGTCCACTAAGCTGACAGCTTTGTCATCCACTTGAAGAATCATATCTTGAGTCCACACTTTGCCTTTAGCATCCAGCAATTTCAGCTTCCTTATTCCATCATCTACTGTAATCATTGCCTCTTTTCGGTCCAAAACAAAGGTGGTCAAGTGCTAGTGAATGAGGGGTACAAAAAAAAAAAAAAAAAGGCGTAATTTTCCCTATCACTAGGCAGCATCAGCAGTTAAATTACTGTGAAACAGCAATACAAATAATTCATGAAGAAAAGCATCTTTGTATAAAAGAGCCTTTGTACATGACAGATATGTATACGATAGATCCTATCTGTCCCTATCTGACCCTATCAGTAAGCCATGGGGGAGGTTGTTTAGTTCGTAATGTCAGTTCAAGTCAGCTGAGTTTTGTAACTTCCTGTTTGTCATCCCCTCATTTTCTCTCTACAGTGAGTAGTTAGGTTTCTAGACATGTTCTGTCACATTTCAGGTATCACAAGTAGAATTAATCTTAAATATTAATTAGCTTTCTTGAGGAGTGAAAACCTGTCTCATTTGGAAAGCTGACTGCAGGAAGCAGCAGGAGAAGCTTCCCAGCAACATCCTGCCAACCTCCGTCTGACCTGGAGCATGGCCATCTCTGTAGAGCTGCCAGTGGGCACCCTGAGGACAACCATGATGGGTTTGCATCTGACTGGGACACGTTATGGGCAAGCCAGTTACTTGTTTCACATAGACCATAATAGAAATGTAGTTTACTATCTATTTTGTTCACCGTCAGCTTGGAATGGTCTCCAGAGGCAATGGTCTAGAAGTTAAATACCACCTCACAGGCATCACCTCAACTCCCTACCATTATGATTTTGATAATTTGATAATTAAGTCTCCCTACCATTATGATTTTGATAGTTTCTTCTTCAAACATGTCAAACATGCATAACAACCTATTTCAGTTTTATCCAGGAAAAATAAAGCCAAGCTTCACATTTTTATTTAAGACTTAGTGACGTTTTTCCAAGAAAAAAACAAAAAGTTAATTAATGCCTGTGCACTTATCTTCTAAACAACCTGAAATAAAAGTATTGAGTGTTCTTTCTACTATATTGGAGGATAATAACACATTTCCATAATGACAGACAAGACGGCAGATGTGAGCTGCACATGATCAAAGTATTTAAAGAAGTTACATAAGCAAACTACACTGTCTGTTCACACAGGAATGCTTAGGTTTCAAATACTATTGCTATTTTCTATGCTAGCAGAGTACCAAAACCGTTATGCAGACAGATACGTAAAGAAACAGACAATGAAAAGAAGCACAAATAACTCCTTTGTAAGCTGATCACAGGGCATAAGGAACTGAAATTAAGACTCTTCTGACCATGATTTAACAATTTATATTTAAAATTCTGCAAAAAGGACCTGTGAATCTATGGCATTTTCAAGAGTCAGCTTAACTCACAACACTTTGACAACAGCAGCAGAAAGTCTATCTCAAAGTAAGAATGTCTCAGCATTGCATCCAGAAGTGCTTAACTACCTACAGGCACCCAGGCTTACTTTGCTGGTTAGTTTAAATATATTTAATTCTAGACAGAATGTGACAGCCATATACAGTAATTCTGCAAAGCAGCTTAAGAGAGGAAGCCATATATTTTTCTTTCCACATGGGGGAAGGATCGGTACAGGCAGGATGCATTTCACTGCTACCTAGTGGACTCTAATGGAGATTTTGGAGGGCTAACAGTCAGCTCTTGCTAAGCACTCTGGCACCTCTGATGATTATAACTAGGAAAAGTATTTTAAATATCATCCAGTGTGCCTCACCAACAGCACAGAGCTTCTCAGCTCCGTGTCAGCCTTGGAACAAGGCTACTTCAAAGACAGGGCAGCTCAGCACACTGAACTGTGATCCCACTGAGAAGTTCTGTCCGTTTGCCACGCACGTCTCTGCTTGTTTGCTACTACTGGATAATTTCAGTTCATTATGGCCCAGCTACACAATTTGATGCATTTCAACGTAATCTGTTCTGAAGTGACCTCAGGCTAGCAGTATATTTTGGAAGATTGATATGCCTTCAAGCCTATGTAGCCTCAGAAATCACACAGGCAAAAATCAGTGAATATCATCAGTGCAACTGAGAGATCTAATTGATGTTTTGCTACTCCTCTCACCTCCACATGGTAGTGTGATGTTTCAGACACGCTGCTGGCACTGTCCCGTGCATAGTTCTTTCTTTGTTCTAAAGAAGAGGTGAGAAAAGAAAGAACAATTATTCATCAAGCTTTTTATCATGTTGCATTTGGGGTATTTCTTCAAGACACTTAAGACCAGCTGTGTATACATGAAAGCAGAAGATGAGTTGCTGTTAATTTTTGCGATTCAAAAGAGAAACTTTCACCCTCAACACAGTCTAGCACAAGGATAATACATCAACAACATTAGAAGAGAGACACACAACAGCTACTATCTCTTCAGTTAGTCAGGATGCAGGAGATGAACAGCACACCCATTGAAAATACTTGTGAAGCCCGATTAATTAAAACCATCAAGTTCCCACTTTGGTAGGGGTATAAAACTAGTTTCGGGCTTACTGTGCTTGTATGAATGCACTTTAAAATCAAAAGTTTTCACATTTATACATATAATTCTCCTGTTATACACTGAAAATAACAAAACCACATATAAAACAGACCTGATGCATCTTTTATTTCCTCCTAAAGCAATCCTTTTTTTGAATAGCTGTTATATAAGTAAGCAGGAAAGAACGAAGGGGAAAGAACCCAAAAGCTACAACAGAAAAATACATGCTCAATATCTCTATATAGAAATACTTTCCAGCTCAACAATGCTGCAAAATCAGAAACATCATTTACCTTTTACTTTAAGCAACAGATTGATATCAAATCAGGAGGAGGGAGAGGAAAGTAAAATGCAAGCTGAGAACACAAAATCCACACACCATAAAATAATGATTTTAAATGAATACTGAAATAAGATTTTCAGCTTCAATCGATAGATAATTATATGAGGCATTTGGAGTTCTCTCTCCCCATAATCACTGAAGTGCCCAATCTGCAAACACCAGGAATTTTGCCTTAATAAGGCAGAAGCTAGAAAACATGTCTGAGAAGAATCCAAGGGAATTCTGTAGCAGGCAAATGTTCTCATTTTCATGAAATATCTTCATTTCTGATTTTCAATTAAAATGGGCTTTTTGATCTTATTTGGAAGGAAGTATCTGACGTATATACAACATACATTAATGTCATCACACCCAGTTGGACTGCTTTGAATAAAGCTACTTTTTTCAGGATTAAAAATGCTAAGTACTACCAAACACATGTTCTGTAATCTACAGGGGTCTCCAGTGAGGACACTAAAATTCAACAGAAGTGTCCACTGAGCAAAGAGGCAAAACAGAAGGTATTTTGTAATCAGAGTTCCTTTATACAGGAATCATTTAGGTGTAGCAGCACCTCAGTGCTTCAGAAGCCCAGACTCCTAGCAGGAAAACAAAGGCCCTCACTTATAGAGATGTCACTTGTAGAAGTATTAGACACACTGTGCATTTCTTTACTTGTCAATATGCTTCATAACTACCCCTCATGATATAACCTCAGCTTTGTAACTAAAGAAAATATAGCTCCTGAAATCATTTCATTGCTTGAAGGCTACCATCAAGACAGCAAGCGTCGCTCACAGAAAAGAGCGATTCTGCTGCTTTGCAGCAGCTACTCAGCTTGCTTCAGCAAGGTATGCCTTTAGTACCCTCAGCCAATAGCAAAACATCATGGATTGTCAGAATTTTAAACATGAGCATATTAAAATCATGTCCATTTTATTATCCATTATTTATAAATCCTAGAGCAGAGGGTCCATATTAATTCCAGATGTAACTAATATTTCTGCTTTTGCAGCATATTACTTATGATGGTTTCATATTTTTTCTTTTTTTTTTTTTAAAAAAAAAAACACAATACACACATACATACATGTGCATACACACACATGCACAACCCCAAAGCAGCAGTCTTTGAAGCAGTATTTGATTTGCTACCTTTCTTTTTTTGTTTGGACGATGATCTGAAGAAGTATGCTCCATCTGTTCCTAACAAAACAAGGGAATTAAAAAGCAATATCTAGTTTAACCAAATATGATTATTTGCATCTCCAGGGGGATCAATTAACGGACTTCTGGTACGGACTGTAAACGAATAACTAAATGATGACCATCAAGAAAGAAAATATGTTTAAAGAGAAAGAAGTTCCATCAATTGAATGCATGGCATGTTGAGTTTGGCTTAGGACCTTCCTCTTTCTGTCCTTTTTCAGTGAAAAGATCAGAGTTTTTATGACGTTCAAGTAAATTAGGATAAGTTTACATCCCTTGTAAGGTTCACAAATCTCCCCAAATAATAGTATTTGATTTTGTTTTTAATAAAACAATACTGGCAAATTTAGAGACTATCAAATAATTAAAAAGCAGAGAGTAACTTTTGCAAGACTTTCCATGCTCACAGTCACAGAAATTCTGTCCCAGGTTAGGACAGGATGTCCAAAATCAGCCATCACAATAGACAAGACGATGGTTTTCATCAGAGAAATGGCAGTGTTTATATAAGAAACAGAGCTTTATGAACAATAGCAAAGAGAAGCTGGACCTGAGATGGAGAGCAAAATGCAGGAGATGTGTTACCAGCACATCCAGATAAAAAGGTCAAAAATTCATCTAAAAGCAAATCCCATTATCAGAGGAGCGTGCACTATCAGTTACAGAGCATCTTGCTGTCGATCTTTTCCCTTATGGGGAATTAGCTAGCATAGAAGGTATGATTTTTGGAAGTCTATTGCCAATTTAATTCATTTACATATCAAATATAAGAACATTAAATAGATGACTTCTTTTAATGAACTCATTTACCTGGTTATGATGAGTTTGCAACTTCTTGGAATTTAGTAATTACACTACCATTCTTGCTCTGAGCAAGGTATCCAAGTAACACAAAAATGCACATGCAATCTCACTGTTAGCACCTCATCACAACCAAGAGAATTTGAAAAACACAATTCATAAAACACCTACTCTTCCCTGATGCTGTCTGGGGACAACTTTAGTAACACCTTTCAATTTCATGTTTAATAATAATCTAAAAATCCAGCTTGCTATGCCAAAAGATTCGAGCTGCTCCAGCCCGTGTCACTCCTTGGTGTCCCTGTGCCAGCTGGTGCCACGTGCCTCCCCGGATGTGGTGCTACAGAAGACAGATGGAGAAGCTAGTGCTAGAACAACAGGTGAGAGGACGAGCCAAAACTCATTTCAGACACAAAGATCAGGAATTAAACAGTGAAATAAACCCCATGAGAATATGGACAGGGCATCTTCCTGAGTTCACAGAGATTTATCATGCAATAAACATTTATTTTTAGGCAGAAAGGAAGCAAAAACATAGGGATGGCTTGAGATGGGAAAAAAAGCAGGAACAGTATGATTTTGCAGTACAGATAACCATATCAGACAGCGTGATGGCTCCAGTCTACTTCTTAAACAAGAACAAAAAAAAAGCTCATAACTCCCTAAAAAACCTCCCACTTCCTTTCCATATGGCACTGTGGTCAATATTCTGCGCAAATACCAAAGTATCCAACATTTGCGAATCACCTTACCAAGGTAAGAACTGGGACTCAACAGTTAACTTCATGCCATGACATAAAGAACAACAGAATCATAGAATCATTATGGTTGGAAAAGGCCTTTCAGACAATCAAGGCCAACCATAATCCCTTCAATGCCATGCCTACTAAACCATGTCCTTAAATGCCTCATCTATGTGTTTCTTGAACACTGACTCTTCCTAGAGTCTCCTCTTCTTCAGATTAAATAATCCCATCTCTCTCAGCCGCACCTCATAAGGTCTGTGCTCCAGCTCCTTCACCAGCTTCATTGCCCTTCTTTGGACACGCTCCAGCACCTCCATGTCTTTCTGGTAGCCCCAAACTGAACACAGTATTTGAGGTGTGACCTCACCAGCGCCGAGTACAGGGGGACGATCACTTCCCTGGTCCTGCTGGCTACACTGTTCCTGATACAAGCCAGGATGCCTTTGGTCTTCTTGGCCGCCTGGGCCCACGGCTGGGAACTGTGCATGTTCAGCCAGCTGTCGACCAACACTCCTGGATCCTTTATATATATATGTAAAATGTCTTCAGTATGCTTGGAAAAAATCCATTCAAAATTAGTTTGTTGATTTAGAAGCCCAGATCCAACTTTCACTTGTTGATAGGTGCCTTAAACCGACTGATGTTCAAAGTCTTCCAGCTTTTTCATGGACAAAGTTTGCTGCTATTATTACAAAGAGTGTCTTGGCATGGTCATTTTATTTATATAACTTTTTATATACGTATAATATATGTATATAATCCAATATATTATCAATGCATAATCAAATACAGAAGTTTGCTGTTAATTACTAATATAAAATATTTATGTTTTAATGCATTTTAAAAGTTCTGACCTTTTTTTATTGCTTCCCACTCCCTTCCGACAGAACACACAAAAATTACAAAACATCAAAAAAGGAAACACTGCAGACAGATGCAGCAGAACGGTAACACGACTGCTGAAAATAAAATATAACTGCATTGGCTTTGAGAAAGATTTTTTTTTTTTAACTTTTCTGCAGTTCATACATTTGGTGACACTGACAGCCTACTTCTTTATGCATACAAACCACAGCAGAAGCAGGAAAATGTGAAAACTCCACTCGAAAAGCTGTGCCAATATATCTTCACTCTGAGCTTCAGCATAATTAAGTCTTCTACTTCATTCAGTTCTTGGCAACTGCAACTGCAGTTTTGTGATATATCTACTAGCACTGGAAGTGAACCAAGATCAACAACTCATTTTACAGGAGCCACCATGCAGTAGTTACATGGTAAGTAGTTTCAATTAGTACCTGAATTCAATTAAGCAGTTTAGAAGTAAAAGGCTGCTTACCATTACATACTTCAAATTTAGCTATTTGTCCCTTCATTCTGCTGACAGATGAATATTCTGTGGCATGTTTGATATGAAAATGCTATAATGCATCATTTTAAACGCCCATAAAGAACACTGCTAAGACATTTTTTACCAATACCACTAATCTATTTAAAACATATGCTGCTGAATAATTATTATTAGATTGATACAAAATGAAAAAAGTTAGAAAAGTGAAATGTATGTCATTCCCATGAACAAATAATCTATTAAAAATATTTTTTAGTGAGATGCCTCTTGCTGGTTTACATTACCACCTACTCTTTCTGTCAACCCACATAACAGCTTGACAAGTAAACCTGCATAGGATGCAGAAATTGCTGTTAAAAACTATCACTTGAGAATTTTGCACAGTTACAGTGTCTGCTTCTAATAATATCCTATGTAGTTGCTTTTTTTTTTTAAGCATACTGCTAAAAAAGGTACAGTCTAAACTAAGAATGATTCTTTTTCAACATCAGTTTTAAAAGGCAAATGTTTGGAATAGGCTTTACTTCTGGTTTTGCAGAAATTTCTAAAAGTGGACTTTCATACTACTGTAACATAGTGCCTTCAGCCACCAACCCACATCAGTCTCTTCACACTACTCCACTTCTGACCGGATACAAAGCCAGGAGACCTTCATAGACTTCCAGCCGCATGTATCCCAAAGCCTTTCAAAAGCCAGTTAATACACACAAACAACACAGCAACGTTTTCATATGCTAACAGGGGATATAACCAGTACTGCCAAATGGTCTATCTGGTATGCCTGCAAGAGTAAATTATTCATTGCAAAGTTTCAAAACACCTTGCCATTGCTGCCCTAACCCAATAAGATCACAAAAACAGGCATTACAGCAACACCACTCAAAATAGGAAGAGAAATTAGTTATTACTAGCAATGTTGCAATTACTAGCCACTGCTCTTTGCCAGAGTTCCCTAGTTTATTAACTCCTCTCTTAGAAGAGAGGATAGAAGCCAAAAGAATGAGCTGGTTGAATGAGGCATGAAGGCTTCTGCAAAGAGGAGACATTCTCATTGCAAACCTCATGCTTCCATTCCTATCAGTTGTACTGACTTTCAAAAGAGCATTTGACAGCATGGACAGATTTACACCACAGAACATCTCTCCATCTTATCTCCATTTAAGTTTCCATTACTGGCACGGCAGTCTGCAGTATATAGTCACTGCAGAAGTAGATGACCAGGGAACTGTGCAATTTGGCTGTCAAGAAACATAACTACATTCTGCCCCCACTGTGATCTGGCCATAAGCTAGAGAATATAGCATACAGCCAAGACAAATAGCAGCATCTGTAGTTGGCTAGTACAACAAAGTTCAGGCATTTCTAAGTAATATTACATCTGGCAAAGACAGAAAAAGCCTGTTCAAAACAGCAGGCCAAATAGGGCTCCAAACAAGTTATGTCAAATCTAACCTCCTTGAAAACCATGTGCCAAGCATCAATATTATTGCTGTAAATTCCTTTTCTGCTAAAAGGAGATCAAGTTAGGGGTCAGGCAGGGGGAGACACAGGTCATGAACAGGGTTTCTCCTTCTATTCATTAAGCTGTTGCTATTAAGAGAATCAATGTATTATTATTGACAGCAGATAACAATTCACACAACATGCTTATTCACTCACACATTCACTCAGTTACCAGGTTGCAGCAACAGCTGGTAGGGCAGCACGACACAAAGCAAGCTGGAAATGGTCTCCCTAACGTTTACTAAACTAGATTTGGAAAAGGAATTTAAATCCAAGAAAGTTCCTCTGAAGATAAAAATTATTCCCATGGGGAGCTAAAGAACACAGATAGGTGCCTGTCACCAGGTTTCATGGCAGTGGACCAGTAGAGATGAAGAGGGTGATCTTCCAAGTTACATTTAAGCTTCTGAATCATTAGCTGAGGGAAACAGAACAAAGAGAGTTCCTTCCTTTGGTTACACCAAAATGGCACTGATAATGTTACAACATTGCAAAGGAACTAGATTTCTTTAATTATTCACATAGAAGGTATTTACACTTCTTGTCCTGTATTGTTAATGATGGAAGAATTTTAGATTTAGGATAAAACTAAAAAAATCCTGCATCATTAACAGTAGAGAATTCAATTTTAGTAATAAGGAGCATTGCAAAACATAACGAATGACACCTCTAAATATCTTCCAAAACTACTTTTTTTTTTTTTCCCCAAAACCAGTTTCCAAAACCTATTCTTTAGAAGCTGGAATGCTCCAATTTTACATTTACAGACAAATAGTAAAGAAGCGGAGTGGTTGGTGAGGGCTTCACGTCTTTAGGGTCAAACAGCAAAACTGATTTTGGATCATCATTACACTGTCATTAACATGTGTTTACCCACCACAGGACTAATAGGATTGGGACAAGTACTTAAATGTGTCTTAACTCAGTGTTCAATCCCTTATTTCGCATAGAAGAAACAAGGGTGTATACTCAGAGAAGAGGCTAAGGGGCATACCCTCACCATTAACACTGGCCATGCTCCCATGTTAGCATGGCTGGGCGTTTAGATCCACACTCCTGAAATACCCAGCAGTCACAATGCACACATCAAAACCCACTCACTTGCCTGGATCTTTACTCATCACTGTATATGTCAAACAGTGGAGAGGGAAAAAAACAAAACAAACAAAAAAAACCATACAAAATAAAACAAAAAATAAACAAACAAAACTACGCACATGAAAAAAGAGCTTTGTTGCCCTGCTTTAAAAATTTGATCTTTAAAGTGCTTCACTCACAGCAAAACTGAGGTTTCCTCCCAGGTCTAGTAAAAAATATAGAAGTTGCACGCAATACAGCACAAGTACATAAAATTTCATGCTTTCATAAAGTAGAGTTAATGATCTACAGTTGGCAATTAACAGCTGGAAAATCTATTTCCTCTTTCTGAAAGGTATATATTTAGTCACATCCAATTATTGGAGTACTGAAATGTAATACTGCTTCAGAAATCAAGCAGTATGCAGCTTTTTTTCTTCTGATTTATGTTAATATTTATAATCTGAAAACAGTTTTTGGAAAAGATTTTCTTCTACATTGTTTATAGAAGGAAGAACCTAGAACACAAAATTAAAGTGACTTAAAGTCATTAAACATCAGCTCAGACCTACACCACAGACCCAAGTCCCACTCACTAACCCATAATATGAGGGCGATTAAATATACATCCTTGGGTGTCTACTAAATCTGTATAACTAATAGCATCTTTCTTTTTTCTTTCTTCCTCTTAAGTGCTCCATATTAAAAAGTCACTTATTAAGTAATAAATAAGTCCAAAGTTAAATTTGTGACACTAATACAAGATATTTTTGTCCTTTTGGGTATCTGTTGCACAGAACATTTAGACAGAATCAAGAAACTGCAATAATGCTAGATAGGACAGACCCTCCTTGCTCCCTAACTTATCAGTCCCTTAATGTCTCTTGACCACTAGGTCCCTCCTAGTTTTCTGATAAATACTTCATAAACTGCTGTCTTAAATTAGCAGGTAGAAGCTCTGTAGTTAGTACATGGTCAAAACATCTTCTAGGGCGGTTATAGCTTTAATACAAATAAAATCATTTGAGTTATTTACACATATAAAAATATATGCATACCGACACATACACACACTTTTAGAATTGTCCAGAAAGTATTTCCACCATGACTTCAAAATCAACACTTAAACACATTTTTTACATAAAAGTTTAAAGAATTTACGTCACCTTACCGTAAAGAGCTTTTGCACTTGTTCTTGAACTCTGCTCCCTCTCTGCCTGAGCAAATGTTGGTGAGCCATAGCCACTGCAAAAACACATTTCTGGTTAACTTCTCATTAGGTGCATTTGCTACACAGAAGCAGGCACTGAAGAAAATCCCTGCTATTAAGTACATATACATATATCTACAATATGATTAACACGGATAATAATACTGAATACTTGCACCACACCATGGTATGAAGAGGCATGTTCGCTTAGGCCCTCCTGAGAAACTCTTCTGTTACTCTAACAGAGCATCAGGCACAACAGGGGTGTAGAATACAAAAAAATGCTACCACAGTATTAATTATCAAAATCACTATCAAATAATAACAACAAAGACTACACCAAAGACTCCAATTGTGGTAGTGCTGTGTCTTTTTCCTGTATGCACAAGCACTGCTTGTTTTAAAAGTTTAAATTGCTTTCCATAAAAGAGCTAAAAAGATTATTTTAGTACAACTAAAAAGGCAATCCAACTTCCTTCTAGCATAAAAACAAGAATGAGCCTCATCTTTAACATGAGAAAAAGTACTCTCTCAGTGCTAACCTTAAATAGCTATGGCATAAGATGACCTCTGTGAGTAATGTAGTATGTTATTGCTACAGCAATACATATATATTTTGTGCTAGGTGATTCCATTCAGCAATATAACTCAACACTTTAATACAAAATTCAGTCATCTGATAGCAGACAACTAGCTTGGAAATTGCACCTTCTTTTACAGAAGCTGCCTTTGTATTATTCCAGTGATTTCTAATAATTACAGCTCTACCTGAAATGAAACCATAAGGAAGAAAATACAAATGTTTTCTCCTTTAAATGAAAATCCAAGGCAGAGGCTTACTTGATCTGAGGAGAATAACTTCCGTATCCACCAGGAGGGGTGTTTGATATATGTCCATTCATTCTTATTGTTACTTACTGAAGGAAATGATCTAGGAAAAGAAACAACATATGAAATTATGTCTCTTTAAAAAAAAAGAGTTTTTTCACAGACATAATGCAAATCTAATTAGAAAATTCTGGTTCAGATGGGAAAGAAATTGCATCCACAAGCCCAACTGATATTTGTATTGTGGTGATGCCCTGAAGTCTTGTTATTTTTAATATATATATTTATATGTATTGATATAAACCTATCTCCATATTATCAAATTGCCCCAATTGCAATTAGATAATTATTGCTTCAAATAACTTATAATTAAGTCATTACTGTTGATAGAACAATCTTTAGGAACAGCTTTTCAAATAAAAGACTGACCAGACAAAGAACAATGTCTACTGCCCAAGTGAACAAGATGTTCCAAATGGCTACTTCAATGATAAGGCATGCTTGATTTTAACCTCAACTAATTTAACTTTGAAATGAAACTTTTGAGAAGAATTTTTGACACATTTGTTCTATAAAACATACCAGCTGAACACTAGAAACACTAGAAACACAACCGTTAGCACAAAGGAAACTTGTTCAGCTACCGTGGGAAGACAACCTATGTTGAAACAGTTCAAAGAAAGCATTGCAACCTTAATAACATGTTAAAAATGATCCTGGAAAATTACTTTAGTAAGTCTGTAAATAATAGCCATCACCAACCAAAATTACCACAAACAGCCTTTCATATACATCTATATATATGCATATATATATATATATATGTACACACACACACAGATACATACACACACACAAATAATAATAACTTGGATAATTATATAATAGAGTCACGAAACAGAAGAGAGATTTAGCTCCACGAACCGCCAAAAATACATTAGATAATATCTTATACTCAACAGAAGCTCAAATTCCAAAATAAGCACAACCTGCCTTGTCATACTAAAGCCATCTCACAGTCAGCTTATTCTGTGGATCACTAAGTTGATCTCCTGTCTTACTTAACTGTTCCCTTCCTCTTGCTTTACAAAGCAGCAGCAGCTGATTGTACATACTTTTTTTAAAAAAATTAATCTACATACATTCTGCTAGTTTCCTCTTTTACACAAAAGCACAATCACAATCAAATTCTGTTCTCATCTCT